TTCCCCGCATTTATTTGATAATTAGATTATTTCACAACACCTCCTAACTTTGGGAGACAAGATAATTTATTTAGGTCCTGACATAAGAAATAACGCTGCCAGTGGAAAGCTAGGGACCCAACTTCAGACTATGAGTGGGTCTTAGTATCTGTATTTGTATTTGCTTGGCCAAAGCTATATTCGTCTTGCTATTCGGACGTCAGCTGGCAGGTGCAAGCACTAAAGTGGTGACGGAGCAGCTTTAAAGCATACCAACAAGACGCACACAAACCCTGCAAGGCATTGTGGGTAGGATCAAGGCAGTGTGAGCGACCAATGACATAATGGAGACAAAAAGTGAAAAATGTTGTTAGTGATAACTGGAAACCGCTTTGCAAATACAGACTCATCGTCTCCTAGGGGATATTCGTTTTGCACTAATTTGAGTTATTTTCATACTGAGAGATTAACTAAACAAACAGACGTTTTTCCAATAGATCCACCTGTTTATAAATCTGTTCCATCTCTGTCCAGAAAAACAGTTTCTAGAGACCCGTCATGTAAAGGAGGAGACGAGGAGTGGTTTCTGAAGGACGCCGCCGCCATGTCTGCTCTTCATGTTACATGTGAGGTCATAGCTCTGGACTGACATACCTCACAGTGTGAAAGCCCCCCCTTCATTTGAACATGAACTGGAGGATCAGGTCGAGTTAGAGACACACCAACTGAACTGTGTCCAACAACAAGGGTGCAGGAACATCTATTTATCCCAACAGACCAGATAACTGAAGTTTTATTTGATTATTTTACATCTAAATTTACTGCAGGATAAAGAATTAAAGATTTTATTGGTTAATGAAAGAACAGAAACAAAAATCAACGCTATTCCTGACATTTGAATTTAAAAAGCTTCCTGGATGGGAAGAGAAACGTCTTCAAACTTGGAAACAAAGTCCAGTGGATTGTTTTTATTTTCTTTTTTTGGAATGACTATGACCTGGATGACTGAGAATCTTCACCAGCGGAAAGAACAGAAACTTAAATAGTGGCTCCTAACAAAACAAATCAATGAATCCCTGTCAACCAAAACAAGAGAAGGAAGTAACGAAAGTGTTCAGGCCTGAAGGTCAGAGGGCTCCTCACCACTTCCAGCTCATTTCAGGGCGGCCACTTTTAACTGCAGTCAGGGGCCACAAACAAACTGATTGGGGCCACAGTGTGGATGAGTGCAACGTGACGTCACAAGCAGCCATGTAGAAAAAAACATCCAGGTATAGTCTCACATGTCTAATGCTCTTATTTATAAATGTTTGTTTGTAAAATATTTTCAATAGAAATAAAGAAAATAATAAAAAACAAACAAAAAAAAAAGAACCAGGTATAGTCCCACCTGTCTAATGTTCTTAATCATAAATGTTTGCTTGTAAAAAAAATTTTCAATAAAAATAAAGAAAATTTCAAAAAAAGAACCAGGTACAGTCCCACCTGTCTAATGTTATTTATATATATATATATATATATATATATATATATATATATATATATATATATATATATATATATATATATATATATATATATATATATATATATATATAAATCTTTGTTTGTAAAATATATTCAATAAAAATAAAGAAAAGAATAATAATAATAAAAAAAGCAAACAAATAAAAAAAAGCAGGTAAAGTCCATCTTTGAACATTTTGTATCACTTCGGCAGATTCGTTTAAAAATACTGTTTCACATTAAAGGAAAAAATAAACAGAAACAACGAATAAACCACATAAATCTAAAAACAAAAAGCTTAAACATTTTAATATTTCATCGTAATCACTTTAAACATACACTATATTGCCAAAAGTATTTGCTCACCCATCCAAATTATTGGAATCAGGTGTTCCAATCACTTCCATGGCCACAGGTGTATAAATTCAAGCACCTAGGCATGCAGACCGTTTTTACAAACATTTGTGAAAGAATGGGTCGCTCTCAGGAGCTCAGTGAATTCCAGCGTGGAACTGTGATAGGATGCCACCTGTGCAACAAATCCAGTCGTGAAATTTCCTCGCTCCTAAATATTCCACAGTCAACTGTCAGCTGTATTATAAGAAAATGGAAGTGTTTGGGAACGACAGCAACTCAGCCACGAAGTGGTAGGCCACGTAAACTGACGGAGCGGGGTCAGCGGATGCTGACGCGCATAGTGCGAAGAGGTCGCCAACTTTCTGCAGAGTCAATCACTACAGACCTCCAAACTTCATGTGGCCTTCAGATTAGCTCAAGAACAGTGCGCAGAGAGCTTCATGGAATGGGTTTCCATGGGCGAGCAGCTGCATCCAAGCCATACATCACCAAGTGCAATGCAAAGCGTCGGATGCGGTGGTGTAAAGCACGCCGCCACTGGACTCTAGAGCAGTGGAGACGCGTTCTCTGGAGTGACGAATCGCGCTTCTCCATCTGGCAATCTGATGGACGGGTCTGGGTTTGGCGGTTGCCAGGAGAACGGTACTTGTCTGACTGCATTGTGCCAAGTGTAAAGTTTGGTGGAGGGGGGATTATGGTGTGAGGTTGTTTTTCAGGAGCTGGGCTTGGCCCCTTAGTTCCAGTGAAAGGAACTCTGAATGCTTCAGCATACCAAGACATTTTGGACAATTCCATGCTCCCAACTTTGTGGGAACAGTTTGGAGCTGGCCCCTTCCTCTTCCAACATGACTGTGCACCAGTGCACAAAGCAAGGTCCATAAAGACATGGATGACAGAGTCTGGTGTGGATGAACTTGACTGGCCTGCACAGAGTCCTGACCTCAACCCGATAGAACACCTTTGGGATGAATTAGAGCGGAGACTGAGAGCCAGGCCTTCTCGTCCAACATCAGTGTGCGACCTCACAAATGCGCTTCTGGAAGAATGGTCAAAAATTCCCATAAACACACTCCTAAACCTTGTGGACAGCCTTCCCAGAAGAGTTGAAGCTGTTCTAGCTGCAAAGGGTGGACCGACGTCATATTGAACCCTATGGATTAGGAACGGGATGTCACTTAAGCTCATATGTGAGTCAAGGCAGGTGAGCAAATACTTTTGGCAATATAGTGTATCTTATCCTTTTTTCGGAAGGCATATCAATCAATTAAACATGTCAAACTTTGTCATAGAGGCTGCTGTGTAAACTGAAGCCTTCAGTTTAAAACACTGAAATAAACTGAGAGACAAAGAAGTGTGAACATGTCCCCAGGCTGTTTCTCTTACCTCGACAAACGTTTTCTGCTCACAATAAACCCAGTAACGACTGATTGGAGCCGCTCTGCTCTTCAGCTGCGGAGAAAAGCAACCAGACAGCAGAGGAGGAGCGCGCCCCCGAACTGCAACAGGTGACAAGGCGCGCTCACGAACAGCGCGGCGCGAGTACGTGCCGCGCGCTCATGTGTGGAGCTATGGAGAGGCTTTTCGCATTTTTAATCAAACCAAATTAAAATAAAAATCACAGCTAATAAATTTGGTTTAATGTTTATTTAATGTCAAAAATTCTAATAATTTTTTATTGATCGCTGATCATAGATAGATAGAAACTTTTATATACTTGGAAACTTTGACCGCATTGCTGTGAACATTTATAGAACAATTTTATATTTACTTTTTTTTAATTGGAAATACTTTTATTCTGCACAATTAGAATTAAACAAATACTCGATAAATAAATAAGCATACCAATAATATGCCCCTAAAAACACAATAAACAAATAAATTTAGGTAGAAATGAAATCATACAGTGAGACATAAATGCATATATCTCTTTTAATTAGCTTCTTTATTTATTCACCTTGTAAAAAATTACCTTATTCATTTATTGTCCTTCATAATCTTCAACTTTATTTATTTATTACTTATGTTTTGAAGTATTAATTTATGTGCATGATATAATATTTTTGTCTATTTTATTCTTCCTTTGTATTTTTTTTTACCCTCTTTATTTCTTCAACATTATTTATTTCTGTCTGTTGTTTTTACATTTCTGCCTCATTATGCAAAGGAGGAGGGGTGTGTCTTAGAGGGTCAAATAATAAATAAATACGTTCCAACCTGTGAATTTATTGAGGATCAGCCAATACAGTTTTTTTTAATCATCGGTTTAAACGAGACCTAATATGTGCTGCAGATTTTTAGGGGCCAATTCTCAAAGCCAGAATTGCAAGTTCAACCTGCACTCTTCCTACAATTTAGATGATAAAAACGACACAATGATAGCAAATGTTACACAAGTCTAAATGCAGACAAAATGGAAAAAATTTTCACCAATCAAACAAAATATAACCAGTGGATACCAAACAGAGAGAGCAGCAATGCATGCATTTTACGTGGTCTCATGGTAGGACTGCTGAATGAGGTAATAAATCAGAAAACTCATGCTCATAATGGCCAGTACAAGAAACAACGCTAATATTGGCCTAAATAGTCCAATCAGTGCACCTCTAGTAGTTTTTGAATTGGAATCAGTAAACTGCCGCAGGGCTTCCTATATTCTGAAATATGGGAAACTGCAGGTTTTTCAGGAACAGAACAACTTTGTTAAAGAAAATCTAAATTCTTTGCTTTGTCTTTTTATCCATCATGGAGCATGCTTTGTGATGCATTAACAGCGTTACAATGAATGAGAGTACTTGAAATTTAAAGAGAATTGTTTTATATCAAGTCAAATAAATGGATTTTATTGGTATGAATGATCATTTAGAGGAAAAATAACAAATTTAAAGCAGTAAAGAGTAAAACAGTAATTGGAAAAAGTAAAGGTGTAATGTAAAATGACTGCAGCGACCTCGTTTGGATGATCATGTGAACTACAGCTCCAATGGCGTGCTCTACAACTAAATACAATATACTGATGCAAAAATAAACTATTTTCTTTTGGATTTATTCCACTGAGCTGAACCAATATAACCAGTAAACTACAGCAATATAAGCACCTGCAGGGGATCGGTGGTGCATGAACTAGTCAGATAATGAACTATGTGTCATTAAGCACTCACTCTGCAGAAGGGAGGCTGTCCTCTAAAGAACCGTCTGGCCACTCTGGAGGAGGAAGGTTCACACAGTCAGGTAATTCAGGAGGAAAATCTTCATCGTTTCTCCTGTAGGAAGTATTTTCCTGATGATGCTCCGCCTCATTTTCCTGACTGAAAGACAGTGCCTCCTGCTGCTCCTCCAGGTCTGCATGAGGGGTTCAAACACTGACAGTGACCTCAGGTCACTGATCTCTATCTATTCACAGGTTGCTGATAGTATTATGGGTAGTATGGGGTGGAAGTGAAGCCACCGGCCTCCCTATTGGTACTCCCTAGTTAGACCGGTCGCAATGTAAACAATATGTGTGCTAAAGCATTAAAGAACAAAGATTTTATAATTTTGAGGGGGACTTAAGACTTTTAAAATAAAGATAAATTCATCACTTGTGTTTGTGGTGTTTCATAGCATCAGTAGATTACTTTAACTAATAATAAGAAAAAATATGCACATCACATTGCACAGTCATTATGAAGTCAATGAAGTTTATAAATCATGGAATATAACATATTATCAAAATCCATCCCAACAAAATTAATGTGTAAATGAAGCATGATAATACAGATGTGCCAAAAGTGCTAAATTGATTATGTACATGTAATATACATGTATCTATTACATTCTTATGGTAATTACATATTACATGTCTAGTGATGCATCTGAAATATATATATATATATATATATATATATATATATATATATATATATATATATATATACCGGTATATATAAGTAATGTAATATAATATAATAATAATATAAGTACATCAAAGACAAGGCTCCAACTGACGACACCCTCTCTGAATATCTCAATGGGGAACAGAATATAAGGTGCCAGAGACTGCGTCATGGGAGGATAAGCTCCTACATGCGATTCACCACCAAAACATAATCGAAGTGGAGGGTTATCAGGAAATCCTACCAATGGCTAGACAAAGCTGGACTGAAGGACAGCAGAGAGGCACTGATCATGGCACAGGAGCAGCCCCTAAGCACCAGACCAATAGAGGCCAAGATTTACCACACCAGACAAGACCCCAAGGGTGTAAGATGCTGGCAGGGAAAGCTTACATGGAGCGCCATAACCAAGTGGCTGGAAGAGTGTACATGAAACCACAAGATCAAAGTGAGCCAAGATCATGTGGGACTTCCAGATACAGACGGACTGAATGGTAATGCCAAAGGAGCCAGACATTGTGGTGGTGGACAAACAGTAGGGGAAAGCCGTTGTGGTTGACATAGCAACCAAGTGACTGCAACATCAGGAAAAAAGAACATGAGAAACTAGAGAAATACCAGGGGCTCAGAGAAGAGCTGGAGAAAACCTGGAAGATCAAGGCATCAGTGGTACCCGTGGTCATTGGGGCCCTCGGGGCAGTGACCCCCAAACTGGAGGAGTGGTTACAGCAGAACTCTGGAAATACATCAGACATCTCGGTCCAGAAGAGTGCAGTTCTAGGAACAACAAAGATACTGGCAGAACCCTCAAGCTCCCAGGCCTCTGGAAGAGGACCTGAGCTTGGAGGAAAAAAGGGGGGGGAGGACCGTCCGTAATGGCTAAGGAAGAGTTTATATATATATATCTATATCTATAGATATATATATATATATATATATATATATATATATATATATATATATATATATATATATATATATATATATATATATATATATAAATGATTGCTTTTTTTTCTCGTTAATATAACATGCTGTATATTTTTCAGCACATGACTTGTTCAAATGAGATATATAGCAAACACTACAAACATGACAGCGTCATCCACTTGATAAAGAATTACTACATTGACATTTCACAGTAAATTACTTTCTATTTACTCTACTTTCTATTTTCTTACATTAGACACAATGTCATTGGCTAATTTAGGCATTATCTTTGAGTCAGTCTGAGACAGCAAGACTAAAGTTATGCTACATACTATATTATAGGTTACATTGGCCTATATGTGGATTCTCTTGCTTAGTTCATCCACTGACTGTGGAATGTCTTCCCACAGCCGGCCAACTGCTTGTTTTTTCAGCCAAATGCTACACATGTAGTCATTTTAACTGTGTCTCTGTGGGAATGGGGAGTACCAACATGGCAGATGGTGGCTTCACTTTTCAGACAATCAGCAATCCAGTGAATAAATAGAGATCAGTGCCTCAGGTCAGTTCACAATCAATATGAAGCATTTTTGCTAAGATAAACAGAGATTCTACCATCATAAACCTCCAGCAGAGCGGAGCAGGAAACCGTTCCATAGGAGTTTAACACCACACATTTGAAGATGCCCGAGTCTTCAGGGAAAGCCTCTGTAATCACCAGCGTGCACAGCTCCTCTGCACAGACAGAACGTTAAACACAGTAACAACATTATCATTACTTGTTTGTTGAAACTCAGCCAGTCATACTATTGGTTCATAGCAAACCAAGCATTTAGTGCTTCTACATCAAACTTTTATCAGACATTATTTTTAAAGATGAAAATAGAAAACTTAGTAAAATTAGGTCAACTTTAGTCAAACAGCCTTGCAGGAAAAAAGTTTATACATTTATTTGCCAGATTTCTGTGCACTTGTAGGCTATTTTTATCCTGAATCTATTATTATTTCATGCAATCTGTGCTTTGGACTCACCTGGCACTGATGCAGAGCTGCCTTCTGGAAACACAAAGACAGATTGAGATAAATTCTTGTGCTGATTAATAATATTCACATTTCAGAATAGGGAACAGTAAATCTAGGCTGATTTACATCTCTGACCTTCATTTATACATGAAGCTGCTTTGCTGTGACTCATGTGGGGTTTAAAACCTTTATCTAAACGGACTTTTCAGGAATTAAAAAGGAATTGAAAAAGCTTCCTGGATGGGATGCGAAACTTCTTCAAACTTGGAAACAAAGTCCAGTGGATTGTTTTAAATTTTCTTCTTTCGAAATTAAGAAGCATATTTGTAAACAATAATATACAATATAAATATAAAACTAACACTGAGCCTGGTTCTGCTGGAGGTTTCTTCCTGTTAAAAGGGAGTTTTTCCTCTCCACTGTCGCTACAAGCATGCTTAGTCTGAGGGATCGCCTTCAAGTCAATGAGTCGATGCAATCAACTGGTTTTCCTTAGATAGAAAACTTTGAACAAATTTGACTGGATGATCTGTTGAACTGTAAAGTGCCTTGAGATGACATGTGTTTTGAATTGGCGCTATAGAAATACACTTCATTGAATTAAAACGTCACTTTTTGCTTTTCTAACCTGAGGCAGACAAAAATCTGATAAAAACATCCAGGTTTGTGAGTTTGAATAGGTTTCTGTGTTCCTGTCTCATTCATAGGGCAATCAGACTTTAGACCAACTGAAAGTCTCTTTGCTTCATGTTTAAGCCTGTTCTGTGGTTCTTGCGTTTACATTTCCAACACATGGTTTCTCATATTCAATCCAATATTTTTTTAATCTACGAACAAACAGCAGCTCCCACATGGTGTCTGAAGTAGTGAAACTCTACTTAATACATTTTACATCCTCAGTAACCATTTGTTTTTTCAAATATTTACAGCTGAGAAATGTTATAAGAAGACAATGATATCAAACATGTTCCTGCAAAAAGGTCTGATGTTGCAGGGGCAGGTAATGAAAAGTGCTGGGAAAAAAATGCTCTAGTTCTGATGCCAGTTTGTTTCAGCCTTTATCCAGTCTCATGTAGAAGGGCTGGTCACATTACAGGTTATTTGCATTATAACAAGGACAGTTAGCAAGGTAGAGTGAACACACAAACTTCAAGACGGGAGGGGGGCTTGCAGGAAAACTGGAATTCTCTGGGACTTCTAGTGTCTAAAAAAAAGCAAAAGCCACATTAATCTGAAGAGGACAGATATCTCTCAAAAACCCAGCTTCAAAAACCAAAATTAACTGTCATAATCAAAGAATATAATCTGTGGATTTAACATTACAAAGTCAAGAGCAATTATGGTATTGAAAAAAGACACAATGTAAGGGATATATAAAAGTTCACAGAGATAATAGGAATATATTTATCATGGAATTCTATGTTGAAAATGTAAATATGCTGAAAAAGTGAATTGCAGCAAATGTGAACAACTTACAAAAGATGGATGTAAATCCTGTAAAAATTAATAGGTAGCAAAACTGATGTAGAGTTGCTGTAAAATGAATGAAGTGGCATAAATCATAGGATCTCTCGTCTCTCTGCTTCTTTTCATGCTAGATGCATTGGTTTGATACTGTGTGTATCTGTCAGCATGAACTTAAAAGTTATTTTCTAAAATGATAAACTGGGATGTGTTAGAAGTGTAACTGCTGTCAAAAGCAGCTTGGCATGAAGAGGCTAACCTCTTACACCCTAAGGGGGTATAAATGAATTTCTGCCTGACAAAAACACACAAAAGTAAATAACTTATAGCCTCACAGCTATTAGATTTAAGAAGAAACTTTTGGTACGTCTGTAAAGGTAAGATGTCATAGAATGGTTTTCTGGTGTCAGCACCATTGTAGCTTTGACCCTGCCTGAAACATTAGGGACAAAATACTAAATATTTTGCATTTTTTGAACCTTGCCAAAATTTTCTTTGAAATAAACATTGCAAAACACTACCAAAATATTATTTATAGCACAAAAAAGTAGTACAGACTTTTAAATCTAAATGTTGTGTAAAAATATACCAAATTTGGACTCAATCAGATGAATCATATTTATTTTAGAATGGTAATGGTATGGACCCGCCGGTGGGTCCATAGGGTTCAAGGGGCTAACCTAAGAGTATGGAGGTAGATTGGTGCCAGATTACCAACTTAATTTTAATTGACTGGATTTCGAGGTGCAAGCAAAAAAAAAAAAAAAAAAGCTTGTTTTTACAGCTGAAAATTTTATACTGAAAAAATATTTTAGAAATTCAAGAAGGATTTTAAAGTGAAAAGAAAAATGTAAAAACTAACATTAAAGCTTCTATTCTGGTCCTTTTTTTTATTTGGGGCAGGGCTTAGATGACATGGGGTTTGGGATTATGCCAGACAGCTTTAGGCCCCGTCCACACGAAGTCAAAACGAACACGAAACGCTGATATTTTCCAAAATGTTTGTCGTAAAGACGGAGACGTAAAATAAATGTGATCGTCCACACGAATGCATGAAAACGCTGCAAAATGTATGCCAGGCATGTAAGTGGCGCTGTGGTGCCAAAGCAAAAATAGGCGATGAAATGTTGGGCATGCGCACTAATATTTATACATGGTTGCCCTGCGGGTCCATTTTCGCGGTTCAGTCAAATTCAGGAGCTGAACTATGTCGTCGATATTGCTCTGTTCTTCCTGGAGATATTCCAGAAGAAGAAGATTCTGTTGTAAGCCCGACAGCAGGGTGAGTAGCATTAGCAGCAACCATTCAACACAGTACGGCGCCATTGTTGTCGTGATACTGTGTCACGCATGCGTGTTCAGAGGCGACGCTATGACGCAAGCGTGTAAAAAAAAAAATGCGGTTAGAGCTTAAAGATGGAAACGCGAAAACTGCGTTTCAAAATCTTCCCACTCTGAAGGCTGAATAAAAAAAAGATCGTTTACAAACCCCCGAAACGCCGGCTTCATGTGGATGAGAGGCTGGTTTGGTGAAAAATCTGTGCGTTTAGGCCAGGGTCTCTGCTTCGTGTGGACGGGGCCTTAGTGTCAGGACAAAATATTCCCATCTATTTTCCCAGTTTCCTATTCGGATAGAATTTAAACTTTACTTTTAATATTTGTTTTTTAATTTTAAGATTTTTTTCTTTGTTTTCAGTTTCTTTTTTACTTTGAAGTTTTAAATCTTTTTTTGTACAATTTCGATGTTTTCTTGTTTCAATATCAAAAAATATTTTTGGACCAAATTTATGGCCTCCATGTACCCGTATTTTCACGACCATAAGGTGCACCGTACTAAAAGGCGCAGTCTCAGTTATGTGTGCCATTTCTGTATTTAACACACACATAAGGCGCACCGGACTATAGGGCGCGTTTTTTATATACAGGTGCATGTCCTCTACTACGTTTAAATACCTCTACTGCGTATTTAAAAATACAGCGGGGGCAAAACTGAGTATGACTGTGCTTTATTCATGTATTTATTATACAGTATTAATCAAACCTGGGAGCTGGCTGTGAGATACAGTGCTGATGACACAGGGCTGTGATCACTCCTCTGAAACAGTTTGTTGACGCATAAATTAACTTAAAATCCTGAAACCTGCCGACAGAATATGTTAGCTTTTATTATCCTGGTGCCTGCAGTTTAGATTATTTAGATGAAAAACACCTGCCAGCCGCCGCGGTGAACCCGGAGATGACCCGGCCCAGAGGTTGCTGTTGAATTAAGTTTTCAGGTAGAAAAATAGAGTGGGAGCAAAACTGAGTATGTTTGTGCTTTATTCAAGTATTTATGACAAAGTATTAATCAAACCCATCAACGTCGTCATCCTCTGTTTCTGAATTAAACAGCTGCACTAAATCAGACATGCCAATTTCCCCTTCTTCGCTGTCGGAGTCACTTTCCGTGGAAATGATGCCGGCTTTTGCGAAAGCTCGAACAACAGTGCCAGCAGACACGTTAGTGTCATGATCTGGCCTGTTTGCTCTCCCTTAATTAGTAATTCCTCTCACCTGTCGTTTTTCCCTCCCTGCGTCAATTATAATTTATTCCTCTCACCTGTTTCCTCTAGTTTATATTCAGTTCAGCCTGAGCATTTAGTGCCAGATCATTACTTGTCTATCTGTTAGTCTGTCTGTTCAGTTTTATTTGATGGTTCATGTCCTGGATCCTAGCTGCCAGTGGAAAGAGGGTTTTAGTCTTTGTCTCGTCTCCTGATTGTCCACTGTTCCTCCCTCGCGGAGTCCTCTGGGTTTTGGCTCATTATGGGGGGAGGTTCAGTTTTTATCAAAGAAAGCCTGGCTCCAGGGAGGAGACCAGTTTAAAGTCCAGCTTCAAGTTCCGGTTCCTACGTCCTGTCTCGGCTACCCTCTTCCACTGTGCCTGCCTGTCTGCACCTGATCCTGTCTGCTCCTGTGCGTGACCACCTGGTCATGCTTCTGGTCCCAGTCTGACTCTGAACCCTCCTGGAAGCCTGTGGATGCCTGGAAGTCTGGATCCTGCCACCTGCTTCTGTTCCTGCCTGATCTGCATCCCTGATCAGGATCGGCTTCCCCCAACTCCTCCGGAGCTGCAGCACTGGGGAGACTCTGGGTGACGCGACCTGCGTCAGCTGTCAGCCCATCGGCTGGATTGCACCCCTCAAGGGGTATGGACTAAACTGTTAAACCAGGTAAGTGACTCACTGAGAACATCATCTTCAGTCAGATGATCGTGGTCACTTACCTGTGTTTCCTCCCTTGAGTGTCTGAGATTGGGCGGTGCCCCGCCCTCCCGCCTGCAGTGTCCGCGAGCCACAGCTCCGCTTTTGTTTTGTTTATTTAATAAATGTTTTAAACTTTCCTACAGACTGTCTCGCCTTGAATACTGGGTCCATCTGTCAGCGCTCATGACAGTTAGTCCAAGCATCAACAATCCATCCGCAAACGGTGGCGTAACTTGCCCGGCGCTGCCTTCCACTTACTTTGAACGGCCGGTTCACACCGATGTCGAGCGGTTGAAGTTCCTTTGTCAGACCCCCCGGCATAACAGCGTTCATTTGATTCACCTTTTTTTTCACATCGGCTGTGAGATGGGCACGCAGTCACAGATTAACAGCGATGGTGATGAGTGGAAAAAACCACCTGGTCTCCTCACATACACCTGCCTCAGCCACGCTTTCATCATCTCCTCATCCATCCAGCCTTTTTAATTTGCCTTAATATCATATGTCATCAGAGCGCTGTGTCTGTCTCGCTGTCAGCTCCCAGGTTTGATTAATACTTTGTATTAAATACACCTTGCAGCTATATTTGCTGTGATCAGTGGGAATAAAGTAGTTTTAATATGTTTTTAAGTGGGAAAATCCACCTGAAAACTGGATAATAAAAGTGAACATATTCTGTCAGCAGGTTAAGTTAATTTAGGTGTCAAACTGTTTCAGAGGAGCGATCACAGCGCTGTGTATATGTGTATCATCAGCGATGTGTCTGTCTCGCTGTCAGCTCCCAGATCAGCTTCTCTGATTGGTTGATGCGGCGTGTCCAGCAGCAAAACTTCAATTTTTCCATCTCGAGCAGCAGCAGCGCGTTGGCGGCGCGACAGATTCTTAAACGTTCCCGACGCGTTGCACCTGCTGCTCAAAACGCGCTGCGGGACATTTTGCTGGTCTCCTTACATTCAGCCACTCTTTCATCATCTCCTCAATGAGGTGGTCTCAAAAGTCCGCAGTAACAACACACATAAGGCGCACCGCACATTTTGAGGGAAAAAAAGACGTTTATGTGCGCCTTATAGTCGTGTGAATACGGTAGCTCCATAGAGTGGCACCAAAACTAATTTTGTAAGCACAAATTTGAAAATCTTTTCTAATTGCTCCATACAAATAGATGTATGAAAAGGCAGTTAGTAACCTGTTACATTTACTAGTTACATTCATTTGTTTTCAGTTTCTTTTTTAGTTTTAAGTTTTAAAAATATTTTTTTTTGACCAAATTTATGGCCTCAATGGAGCTCCATAGAGTGGCACCAAAACACATTTTGTCCGCATGAAATTTGAAAATGTTTTTTAATCTCTCCATACAAATAAATCTATCAAAAGGTGGTTAATAACTGGTTACATTTATTCAGTCACATTTGCTTGAGTAACCTTTTGACAAAATATACTTTTACAAGTATTTGTTTTCAACTCTACTTTTTATTTTACTTGAGTTATATCTTTGTACAATATCGCGGCTTTTACTGTAGTGAAATGTTTGACCACTTTACCTGCTGTTTATCTTTACTAAAAAACAAACAAGCTTGTTTTAAACAAATTTTCTCCAAACACACACAGTTAATGTTTATGTCAAAATGAGTTTTCTCTTTGGACACAAGCTTACTTCAGACAAATGGATCCACATGATAATAAGAAAAAAATAACCCTGGCTCACTGCATCATAAATTAAAGTATGGATTCACTTCCAGGTGTCCCTTTCTGCCAGCTGTCCATCTCATGAATCCCTCCCACACTTACTCTTGCGCAATATCCTAAAATCATCAGAGTCCTGTATTTGTTCGTCCTCCCTGTACCACATGACCTGCAGTGGGGGGGTCCCCCTGAGCCGACACTCCAGCACCACCAGCTGACCCTTCACTGTGGACACATCATGGAGGCACTGGGAGAAATGATGATGAGGAGCGACCAATGAGACGGACGTCAGAGGAGATTTATATAGAGCAGGAGATTTCTGTTACCTTAACAAATGTTGGCGCCACTCCTTTCCCTGAATACTGCTGATTATAGACAGGACTCTGAGTCTGCACACAACAAACAGACATGTTAACCAGTTCTGGGGGTGGACTAATGACTGTTTTCTATATTTATTTTTATGCACAAAGGCTGCAGTAAAGCAAAGCATAAAATGTTACATTTCGCATCTGAATGGCACATTTTCATAATGCATCAGGATCTCAGTGATTACCCTCTGAGGGCTGACACACAACGGATGCACCAGGCTGGAGTGTCTCTGAGCGATCAACGTGGAGGAGGCGGATGTGGTGGAGCAGGAGGTGTGCTCCCGGGAGGAGGATGCAGCAGAGGAGGAGGAGGAAATGGTCAGAGACATGGTGCTGGTCTTCTTCTGCACCCCCTGGACCCTGCAGGGTGGGACACAATGGCAGACATCACACCTTCTCCTATTTTTACCGTCCTCATATTGTGTGGGTGTGTAACTCACTGGGCCATGATGGAGTCGATGTCGCTGGCAGGGAGGGAGATCCTGTGAGTATAAACATTGGGAAAGAATGAAAACAAACTCTCCAACAGACCCCGCCTCCTTCTTTGTTATAAGATAATTTTATGGCTCATCTCTCTTCACTATAACAAACCCCTGCAAAGTCCGTATAACAACAGCAGCTGCACTGATCTGATGTAAAAGCTTCACTCAAAAATGGACAAACCCAACTACACTGGTCTTTGATGCTGTTTGCAATATGTGGATAAATAGATTTGAAGCAATGATTGTAAACTAAACCAATAGTTTGGCCTATGAGTTAACTATTTTATTCCTTTATGGGTCAAAAGTTTAGAAATTTGGGAACCTCTACTTAGCAGACAGAGGTTGAGAGGATAGAAAGCCCATTTCACTGTTAGTGATTGAGCAAATCCACGGAAAGTTTAGGTAAATAGATTCAAACTCAGAGACACAGCCAACTTCTCATAATCTGTCTCCTTGAACCCCAGCCGGCCTCAGCAGATGGCCGCTAACACTTAAGCCTGATTTATACTCAGAAACCAGGTCGTCTGCGTGTGTGTCGCAGTGAATGCAGATATGCCGCAGACACTCTGCTGCACCTCTCCAAAATTGGTAAGCGCAGACAGGAGGCCTCTGATTGGTCAAATCTACATCCGCTCTACTCTATGCATATTTCCTGTTTGGTACCTTACCGGCTTGTTTTGTTTGTATGACCGCCATTGTGAAAAAACGACTGGTGAAGATGGACCAGCTAGAAGAGCGAGGTGCGCGAGAACGCTGGGACCCTTTTTCCACCTGGATCCCCGCTCTTTTTCACCCTCATGTCCCTCTGCTGTCGCACAAACTTGCCCCCACTTCCTCACCGCCTCGACCGTATCCAGACCCACAGCTGGTTCCTGATTGTCCCTCTTGTGTTGTGGCGTGGAATAACATAGGGCAGACCACCCTTGAATTTTGGGCATAAATAAAAAATATCTGCATCAAGCTCACTGCGACACACTGCTGCAGGAGAATAACCAGCCCTTTAGCCTGGTTCTGCTGGAGGTTTCTTCCTGTTAAAATGGTGTTTTTCCTCTCCACTGTCGCTACAAGCATGCTTAGTGTGAGAGATTCTTCTGGGGTCCTCTAGGGTCGTTGTCCTGCAGGTTTAAGAGGTTTCTCTGCTCCAAGCACAGCTGATTTACACTGATAGTTGATTAACAGGTTTTTGCTGAACTGCAATCATCAGAATCAGCTTTGCTGAATCAGAGAAACCTCTAAAACCTGCAGGACAGCGGCCCTCGAGGACCGAATTTGGGGATGCCTGCTGTAGAGTCAATGAGTCGATGCAATCAACCTGTTTCCTTACATAGAAAACTTTGAATCAACTGCAAAGTGCCTTGAGATGACGTGTGTTGTGAATTGCCGCTTTATAAATACACAACTGAATAGAATTTGAGCGCAACCCACCTACTGCCTAAACTCAGTGACAATCAAAGCAAACACATGGAGAGCCTAGCTTTAACACATGGGCTCACTCTGCATCACTTCCTCCACATGAAATCACTGTGTCTCCATGACAGCTGGACTTTATTTAGCTGCAGGATATGGTTTCATTGCTAACTGAAGGTGTGTGCTGTCTTTCAGTTCCCAGCCTCAGTCTGTCTTATGGCTGCAGCAGAGAGGGAGCTGACAGAAGAGCCTGAGAGTCATGTTTCTGGGCTAAATTAAACTCTGCCTGCTCCTGAACACAGAAGAGGTTTCCCCATAAACAAGTGACAGAGAACGCAGAAACTTTCCCTCACTTCTTTGACCATTTTGATGGAGTCTTTGCAGATCCAGCAGCGATCCCTAATCCAGCTTCAGCACTGTCTACATCAGCCCACCACCACTTAAGGAAAGGAAAACAGCTGCAGCCTTTGAATTATCCATGCGTACATCTAGTTCCCCCAATAGATAAGCCTTGAAACAGGTGTATTAATGTGTGCGTGTCCCTGTTGTTGATGCAGCACCAGCTGCTGCTGCTTTGTGTCAGTTGTCTCTGTTACATAACCATACAATTTATGGCTGCATTTACCAATCTGTTACCCGGCAAGTCAGACAAAGAGGGAAACTAAGAGTGAAGCTCTTCAGTCAGATGACCGAGTGCAACACAGACTGGGGCCTAAATGCTTTAAATGCTGAGAGGTTCATCCAGTATATGGGAACTGATGAGGAAAAGTTCAGTTTCTGAGAGGAAAATCATGGAGGCCGAATCAACAAAATAAGAAACAATAACCCCAACAGAAGCAAAAAAGAAGTAGGAAACAACAAGAGGGCAAAAAAAAAAAAAAAAAAACCCAACGAAATAAATAAATAAACCAAAGGTAATCATCAAAGTTTCCTTACTGGGTTCATTTTCTTTTTCTTAATGAATCAGAACTCCTAATAGAAATAAGATCGTACCAGTTTTCTTCAGGGTGTTTTATTAAGCAGAAAATAGATCAACAACATCATCAAATACAAATAAAAATAGATGCAAAAAACCAGTAAATTTGTATCTATGTTTCAAATAATGAATTAAATTAAATTAATTAAATAGTAAAGAAAGAAAATCAAATATTATAATTTCAATGAAAAAAAATATAATTATACCATCTTTAAAACTAGATGATAAAGATGATCAAATAAACAATTATTTTGAATTTAGATTTTTTTTTAACCTAATCATGAAAATTGTCCAATTTATAATTTCATATTACAAAATAAACTAATAAAAATTATAAAATATTTTAACTTATGTAAAAAATATATAAAAAAACTAAACAAATTATGTTTTTCATCAACCGTCTGAGTGTCACACAACAAAAAACGTCAATTTTAAACAGGGCAATTATTCAATTTCTTTAAGAATTTGGGAGCTGAGAGCAGCTAACAGGAGAAAATAGGAGGAAACCAGCATTTACTGGTGATCTGTCTCAGTCCACCTCCCAGTGTTTAACCCCAGGCATCCCATAGTTCCCAGTCCCAGCAGCTCTCAGCTGTGAACACATTTAGCTCCTGCTGTGGTTTCAGGTGCAAACATAAAGAAATGGAGCCAGTTAGGTCTTTATTATCTTAGTCTGGCACCTTTGGTTCACCGTCCATAGATCCAACGTAGACATGCAATAGTAAAATAGTAGAGCTTGCATCTGCATCCTCCGCAGTTTCCTTAATTTTAGCAGCTAAATAGGATGATCTGCCAATGATGGGAGCATTTTTGGCTTTAAAAACAGGTATTTTGGTGTTATTCAATTGAAATAAGCTAATAGATTTGTCTTTTTTAATTTTTAAATTATGAATCATCTTATTCTGTTGGCAAATTGTCTAATTTCTTTGCTCAAATCAAGCGAAAATACATTGATTTGAAGAAAAACCGACTGACTTAGATTTCAATTTTTCCAGCATAGTGAAGCAGAGAGAAACAGTGTGGGATCCAGTTATAACAACCAGTCTTTTATATTAAAAAATGTATTTATAAAAGTATTTTATCGGCAGCTTCCAGCTGTTATTCAGCTGTTTGTTGACTGAATCAGGGGAAACATGAACATGTCTGCTAATCAAATAAACAGCATTTTACATGTATACAGTCCCCATTTTCTCATAAAAAAAAAAAAAAAAATACTTTTAATTTTCAAACTAGATCTGCATTTTTGACTGATAAATTAAATTTAAAATAAGGCATCTAAACTGCAGTTTCATTTTCTTCTCCAAGACTGATCATTTTGTAAATTAATTAAAATGATCAATAAAATATTATTTTTAATTTTATTTTTAAATATTCTGCAGAAAAAAGTGACCATAATTCATCTGAAAAATAAAATATGAAAAAAATATAAAAAATAAAAATGCAAGCAGTTTAGAGCAAGCAGTTCCCTACTGAACCAGAAGGGGGCAGCAGTGATAAATTAACCTTGAACAAAAAATACAGAAATGAATGATTCATATTCAACATGATAGATTTAATTTTCTCTCTCTCTCTCTCTTTTTTTTTTTTTTTTGGTGTTTTCTGGTAATACATTTATGTCTCACAGTATAATCTAATTTCTACTTACATTTGTTTGTTTATTGTATTTCTGGGGGCAATTAATTGTATGCTTCTTTATTTATTGAGCATTTATTTATTTCTGTATATATTTTCAAATATGATAGAGTTGGTCCTCCATAGTCATCTAGGAGTCTTCTATGAATGTAAAGTCATTAAATTTTTATATAATGCAGAAACATAAATGACTGATTTACACAGTATTGACAGTATTGATCAGAAGTCTGCAACCTGCGGCTTTTTTTTTTTTAATGGCATTTTATAGATCACACTCTCTTCACATGCTGGACGTTGTTGCTAATGTCCAGCAGACCAATAGACAAGCCTCTTTGCTCCTCACTGGAGGAAAGCCCGCCCCCTGAATTAAATGTGATGGAAAACGTAAATAAAAAAGAATGCAATTCCTAAAACTCACAACAAACATTTCTTTTTTAAAATTAACTAAGATATAAAATGTGTAAAACAGATTTTGGAAAAAATATAATTTTATTTTTTAGAGGCAGAGGACATCATAGAATCAGCCAGTCAAAGCTCTTCTAAAATTAAAAGAAATCGGGGCCGATCGACCGGCCAGCCGATCGATTTGTTAGCCCTTATTTTTAAATCTTAGGTTGAGAAAATGTCCTTTTTTAAAACCACATGAATATAATAATAATAATAATAATAATAATAATAATAATAATAATAATAGAAGAACATTTAATCCTAAAAAAAAGTTTTATTTCCAAACCTGAAAAATAAAACAGTGGTTCTTTAATAAAATTAAAAAAACATTTTCTTGCATAGATATTAAAAGCAATAATGTTGTCATTTGTCATTAGTTTTATTTTAATGGTAATAATGGCTCCTTGGTTTGTTAAAGTATAATAAATATTTATCTAGGATTATTAAAAACGACTTAAAACAAATGTAGTTAATTTTCAGGGATTTATTCTGAAAAAAACAGATGTTTTCCTCTTTTATGTTCCTGCTGGTCATTCTGATGAGTGCAGACTGACCCTGAACTAATTATTGGTCTATGAACATTTTCTGGCTCCTCCAGTTCAAACAGTAACTGCCCTTTAACAAACTAATTAATTTCTTCTCACAGCCTGATATTAGAGTGCTTTGCTGAGTGGCACATATTCAAAGTCAGCAGCCCTAAAATAAAAATAAAAAACACTTTCTTTTTACTGAAGAAATAGTCAGGGTTGAAAAGCTTCAAAATGCACAGAAGGCATTTGTTATGGTTCTCCCCATTAGGGAATCTCAGTTTTTAGTTTTCAGTTATTAGTTGTTCTGTTTTGTTGTTCTTTGGTTTATTTTCCATTATATTCAAGCAGACTTTAGTTACTCTCTGCTGCCCCCTGGTGCTTGTTTCCTTTCCCCTCGGCTTCCTTCTAGTTACTTCCACTCACACCTGCTCCATATTCAGCTCATTAGTCCATGCTTATATTCTCCACCTCTGCAGTCGCTCAGTGCTGGTTCCTTCTCGTTATTTTGTTGTTCCCTCGTCCCTGGTTTCCCAGGTGAGTTCTACCTGATGCTGTAACATTGAGAAGAGAGCAGACTTCGACTGAAAATTTGAAGAAAAACAGGTTTCACGCCACTCCCCCACCTTCTCTGCTTCACTCATGCCCCACCTCTAAACTCCACCCCTCTCACAGCATCTTCGCGGCTACCAGCGTGTGTGAGCTGTGATTGACACTCCATCAGACGCTCCTCTGGCTGTGATTGGTTGTTTTGACTCGTCCCGAATTATTCTTTCCAGATTGAAATACAGGCAGTATGCGGGACCAATTGAAGCAGTTTTTTTCACAGGTTACATATTACATGTACAGGTGCTGGTCATAAAATTAGAATATCATGAAAAAGTAGATTGATTTCAGTAATTCCATTTAAAAAGTGAAACTTGTATATTATATTCATACATTACATACAAACTCATATATTTCAGATGTTTATTTTGTTTAATTTTGATGATTACAAATGACAACAAATGAAAATCTCAAATTCATCATATCAGAAAATTAGAATATTGTGAAAAGGTTCAAAATTGATGGCCCCTGGTGCCACACTCTAATCAGCTAATTAACTCAAACCACCTGCAAAAGCCTTTAAATGGTCTCTCAGTCTAGTTCTATAGGCTACACAATCATGGGGAAGACTGCTGACTTGACAGTTGTCCAAAAGACGACCATCGACACCTTGCACAAGGAGGGCAAGACACAAAAGGTCATCGCTAAAGAGGCTGGCTGTTCACAGAGCTCAGTGTCCAAGCACATTAATAGAGAGGCGAAGGGAAGGAAAAGATGTGGTCGAAAAAAGTGTACAAGCAAGAGAGATAACCGCACCCTGGAGAGGATTGTGAAACAAAACCCATTCAAAAATGTGGGGGAGATTCACAAAGAGTGGACTGCAGCTGGAGTGAGTGCTTCAAGAACCACCACACACAGACGTATGAAAGACATGGGTTTCTGCTGTCGCATTCCTTGTGTCAAGCCACTCTTGAACCACAGACAGCGTCAGAAGCGTCTTGCCTGGGCTAAAGAGAAACAGGACTGGACTGCTGGTGAGTGGTCCAAAGTCATGTTCTCTGATGAAAGTAAATTTTGCATTTCCTTTGGAAATCAAGGTCCCAGAGTCTGGAGGAAAAGAAGAGAGGCACTTCATCCACGTTGCTTGAAGTCCAGTGTAAAGTTTCCACAGTCAGTGATGGTTTGGGGTGCCATGTCATCTGCTGGTTTTGGTCCATTGTGTTTTCTGAGGTCCAGGGTCAACGCAGCCACATACCAGGAAGTTTTAGAGCACTTCATGCTTCCTGCAGCTGACCAACTTTTTGGAGATGCAGATTTCATTTTCCAACAGGACTTGGCACCTGCACACAGTGCCAAAGCTACCAGTACCTGGTTGAAGGACCATGGTATCCCTGTTCTTAATTGGCCAGCAAACTCTCCTGACCTTAACCCCATAGAAAATCTATGGGGTATTGTGAAGAAGAAGATGCAATACACCAGACCCAACAATTCAGAAGAGCTAAAAGCCACTATTAGAGCAACCTGGGCTATCATAACACCTGAGCAGTGCCACAGACTGATCGACTCCATGCCACGCCGCATTGCTGCAGTAATACAGGCCAAAGGAGGCCCAACTAAATACTGAGTGCTGTACATGCTCATACTTTTCATGTTCATACTTTTCAGTTGGCCAACATTTCTATAAATCCTTTGTTTTTATTGGTCTTCAGTAATATTCTAATTTTCTGATATGATGAATTTGAGATTTTCATTTGTTGTCATTTGTAATCATCAAAATTAAACAAAGTAAACATCTGAAATATATGAGTTTGTATGTAATGTATGAATATAATATACAAGTTTCACTTTTTAAATGGAATTACTGAAATCAATCTACTTTTTCATGATATTCTAATTTTATGACCAGCACCTGTACTGCTGTCTGGGCATAGGGACAGTTTTAGCCAATATGACAAAAAAGTAATTTTTAAAAACTTACAGACTTCAGCTTTAAATCTTCAAGATTCACCTCTGCCTGCTGGTCTGTGCATTTGGGTCCTCAAAAGCTCCAGCCCATTGTGACAGAATTGTCTTATTTTAACCCCCAAAACGTAAGCAAACATCGGCGACTAGCAGACAAGAAGAAAACCGGCAGAGAAAACATTAAAACTGCTGTGAAATCAAAAATATTAAATATTTTTTAAAGAACAAAAACACACAGGTAGAACAGCATCATCAATGATTCAAGTTATGTTTCATAAACAGGCAAAATAACAGACTTTCAGCTTTTCCTCAACTGTTGGAAAACAAGCTTCCTTCACCTCCGGGGTGTCAGCTGATCAGTCCCCGCACCGACCAACCAGAGCTCTGCATGCCAAGCTGGTGCTGCTCTGACAGTCACCCAGCAACACACAGACATACTTGTTCTGCTATATGTACTGAGGACCATGAGTTGACTCTTATTGACTTCCAGTCATTTTAAACCCTTTCTATGCCCTGACCCTTAAACTAACCCTAAACCTAAGCATGATGACCGGCAAAATGTCCTCACTATGCAAAAGCTGGTCCTCAATCTGATGGTCAAATTGGAAAAATGGTCCTCACTCTGAGGGTTAGACAGGTACACACACACACACACACCCATACTCGTTCTGCTATTGAAGTGAGGACCATGTGTTGACTCCCATTGATTTTCAGTCATTTTCAACCCTTTCTATGCCCTAAACCTAACCATTACCAATGCATACCTCACCCTAACCAATTGACACCTAAACCTAACCATTAGCAAAATAGTATTTGATGGTGAAATTGGATAAAAGGTGCTCACTCTGAGGGCTAGACAGGTGTACACACACACACACACCAGTGAGATTTCACTGCCTCACTCAGCAAACTATAAATAACAACTTGGTTTAGAGTCATTTTGACCCATTAAGCATCCAGACCCTTAGTTTTAATCACACCAACAGAGATACAGACAGAAAAAGAAAAACTCAGTGTGGGGGCTTCATAGGTTCATGACGATGCATAAAATTAGATCTGCCCCCCCCTCTAAACTCTCTGTCAGCTGTCGTCTTCTCTCTGACTGCTAACTCATTCCCTGCACCAGTTGCTCTATCATGAACCTAACAGGTTTGAACCAATTCAATGGCAGCAGGTTTACTTTTGCTTTGTCATCTGGACTCCCACAATGATTCTGCTGCCTGAGTTTAGTTTGGGATTTCCTACTATACTGCCAGAGATGGAGGCCATGCACATGTAAAACAGGCCTGGTTCCCCCCAGCATGCCATAAGCCCCTTACCTGCCTGTGCTTTCCTCTGTTGATTGAACCAAAGGTCTTAATCCAGCAGGAGGAAGATCCCGATGCTGTCAAACCGCTCTGTGACCCGAGGCCTGCTGGTCATGACGGCTGCAGGCTGCCTGCTGAGCTGAGAAACACTTTTACACATGTATGGATGTGTGTGTGAGTGTGTGTACTTGCTCATGGGTGTGTTGAACGGGTTAGGAGGGAATCTGAGGCGAGGGGGGGGGGGGGGGGTCACGAGGAGGGGACAGTGAGGATCAGAGAAAGGAGCAAAATACAGATTTCAGTGTCAAGAAAAAAATATTAAAGGAATTTAATTCATCAGCACTTAAACAATTAAACAAAACAGTTTTTTTATGTTATCAGTTATTAATTCTTTTAAAGTTAAATATTACATTAACACATCAGAAGATGTAAATGAACTTAAACGTGTGTTCAGGGTGTCATGGCCGATGATTGGATGAAGAAGTTTATCCAGGACAGCGAGACAGAAAAACCTGCGCCTGGTGCCACGGAGTCGTCTGAGGAAACATAAAACTTCCAGAGACGGACACATGGAGGGAGTGGGAGCCTGATACCGTCTTACAGGGGAGGGGGCCACCTCTTATGTCCAACCAGTGGAAAAGCAGCTTCACTGCTGATATAAAGCATGAGCCAGCAGGGGAAGCATAAGGCTGAGGGCTAAATGTCATTATTACAAACTGAGAACCTGAATGCTGGTAAAAAATGTTGAGGTGTGTCTGTTCTTAGCCTTACAGGCTCCAAACGAAGCTCATGACAGATAGGAATGAGTTCTGCTACGTTCAGACCTAAAGCAGCAGAGGCAGCAGGAGCAGCTAGTTTACATGCAAAGTCAATGGTTGACAGCAAAAGGTCCTGCAGAGCGTCAGGTGCTCAGACGCTCGTGATGCGCTGTAAACGCAGCTGCTGCTGGAGTTGGAAAAATAAATTTTTGCTGCTTGATGCACCGCATCAACCAATCAGAGAAGCTGATCTGGGACTTGACAGGGAGACAGACACAGCTCTGCTGATGCAGATCGCTATAATCGCTCCTCTGAAACAGTTTATTAACGCCTTAATTACCTTAAAATGCTGCAACCTGCCAGCAAAACATTTTCGCTTTTATTATCCTGGTGCCTGCAGTTTGGATTACGTACATGAAAAACGCCTCCCTGCTGCCACGGAAAACCTCGAAGAGAAGACCAGGCCAGAGGCTGCTGTTGAACAGCATTCCTAGTGACAGAGCTCCGCGGGTGTTTCTGAGCTGCTCTGACAGAAATAATATTTGAAGGCAGGATGGTGATCTGGATGACCTGACTGCACTGATGAAGTTTTTAGGTGGACTTTCTCACTGAAAAACATTAAAAATAAATTTTACCCACTGATCACAGCAAATATAGCTGCCATTGTTGCAGGGAAAGAAAAGATAGGGTAGCTCTGCTCAATGCGCATCAGACCTACTTTTCCACCGTGCAGCCAGAGCAGCAAAGATGCTTCAGCCGCGCGTCAGAACTAAACTGGAACAAGCATCAAAAATGAAGCAGCACGCGCATTTCTGCTGCTCCTGCTGCTTTAGGTGTGAACGTGGCATTACACATCCTCCTTCATGGCATGAAGGGGAGGACTGGTATTTTGAGAAGATCAATCTGGCCAAGATATATTAACCCAGAGGGAACGGCCTTGATGAACTCAGGTTGTTTTTCCTCCAAATGTTCAAGTGTGAGAAAGTTCTTTATGCAGGGCATGGGTTGGTTCCCCTGGGATTTTGTAAGGTATAAAGGTAAGTACTGAGGTTGCCTCAGTCAGAGCTCTATCTCTATGTCTGAGGACGTTAAATACATTTGAACCTTTTGTCTTGCAAGATATGCCTCTGTCTCTGCTTCCTAACTGCACAAGCAATACATAAAAAACACTTAAATAGCCTTTCGAACGTTACTGTGACTGCTCTGAGCATGTCCAATGTCACGCAATACTATGGAGAGAATGTAAAACAATTTAATTTCTTTAACAAGTCTTCAATATTTTCTATATGATGTAGTTTAGCATTCTTTAATATTTTAAGTATATAAATAGATATTTTTAGATGATTAGATGACGATGTAACTCTGAGAAGAAGCCATTTCCCAGCTCTGTCACTAGCTTCATCTCCTGGAACCTCAACCTCCCGTTCCTGTCGGTGCAGAAACATTTTGTGTCTGTGTTGGAGTAGCATTTTGGACCCCTCAAAATTCATAAAATAATGACTTACATCTTGAACAAGATTAATACTTTATTTGGTACCATTCTGTTCTTTGTTTTGATGTGAAAATGCTGATATAAAAGTGGAAGTTTAACCTTTAAAGTATCAGATAAACTAGTTGAAACTTGTCCTTAATCATGTCTGCATTCGTCTTCATCAGTCAAATAGGGACGACTGTGAACATTAAAAATCTTTTTAGCCCCAATGGCTAATGTAGCAGCTACCTTCAGGCAGCAGCAAGCGTTACTGGAGAACACATCAGGTTTGTTTGAGTTTGAACGGGAAAAAAATCACAAGAAGCAGCAAAACATTTCAAGATATTTATTGTCGTTCCTTTCTTTGTGTAAATAAAAATGGAAATCTCAAGTCAATTCAAAGAGGAAGGGGGTACAGTATACAACACAAACATTGGTCCAGTGCAATAACAATGTTACAGAATATATATATATATATATATATATATATATATATATATATATATATATATATATATATATATATATATATATATATATATATATATATATATATATATATATATATTCATGGAATACAACCTTAATTAAGCTAACACTTGAATTTTGTAACCTGAAAAGGGTAAATAAATCAGTTTTTGATAAAAAAAAAGAAAGAAAAAGTAGCCAATATATAACTATAAACTGTTATTGTTTTGCATTTAATGGAGATTATTTTGGTTCCTTAATGAGCAAAGATTACCTTTAAAGGTGCATAGTCATGTTACTTGACCGTTTTGTATACGTTGGTAATTCACTCTTATTTAAATACAATGTTTTCTGAAAGAATATCATGGTTTTTTTTACTTGTTTTTGCAAAGTTTGTTAGTAAATTAACCCCTTATGTACCAACAAGGTATGAAGCTTTGCATGTGAAAAGGGGGTAAAAAAGTAAGTAGACTACTGCAGTTAGGCCAGTTAGAAACTCCCAAGGATGTGTGAAAATAATGAAGGAAAATCCAAGATCCACTGTGAAAAAATATGAAAAAAGATAGAAAACCGTCTGAGCATTGGTGTTAACTGAAAAAGACCTAAAGGCGTTCAGATGCAGCTGCTAAAGTTCATTAATACTGATGCTATTGATATAGCAATGACATTGTCCAAACCAAAGTCTACATAGATAGAACGATTGGTTCTTAGCTTCATGTTTCTCCCTGTTTGTGTTTGTTGTGAACAGGAATTTTCTTCCTGCTTTCAGCTCTGAGGTGGATTCACTAGAACAGAGATGCTGCAGAGCAGTTAGCTTAACAAACATCAGTTGGTCTTTGACCACAGCCAGCTGTTGTTTCTACTGTGATTCACTGCAGGACGGTCAAACTTTGTTTAGTAGTTCCCTTCTGGCTTTCAGATAGTTCATATGACTGCCAGCAGATGGCACCACCTTTTTAAATTTCTATGCATCACACCTGATGCTGGAATTCTATTTAGGCACATACAGGTGCTGGTCATAAAATTAGAATATCATGAAAAAGTAGATTGATTTCAGTAATTCCATTTAAAAAGTGAAACTTGTATATTATATTCATACATTACATACAAACTCATATATTTCAGATGTTTATTTTGTTTAATTTTGATGATTACAAATGACAACAAATGAAAATCTCAAATTCACCATATCAGAAAATTAGAATATTGTGAAAAGGTTCAAAATTGATGGCCCCTGGTGCCACACTCTAATCAGCTAATTAACTCAAACCACCTGCAAAAGCCTTTAAATGGTCTTTCAGTCTAGTTCTATAGGCTACACAATCATGGGGAAGACTGCTGACTTGACAGTTGTCCAAAAGACGACCATCGACACCTTGCACAAGGAGGGCAAGACACAAAAGGTCATCGCTAAAGAGGCTGGCTGTTCACAGAGCTCAGTGTCCAAGCACATTAATAGAGAGGCGAAGGGAAGGAAAAGATGTGGTCGAAAAAAGTGTACAAGCAAGAGAGATAACCGCACCCTGGAGAGGATTGTGAAACAAAACCCATTCAAAAATGTGGGGGAGATTCACAAAGAGTGGACTGCAGCTGGAGTGAGTGCTTCAAGAACCACCACACACAGACGTATGAAAGACATGGGTTTCTGCTGTCGCATTCCTTGTGTCAAGCCACTCTTGAACCACAGACAGCGTCAGAAGCGTCTTGCCTGGGCTAAAGAGAAACAGGACTGGACTGCTGGTGAGTGGTCCAAAGTCATGTTCTCTGATGAAAGTAAATTTTGCATTTCCTTTGGAAATCAAGGTCCCAGAGTCTGGAGGAAAAGAAGAGAGGCACTTCATCCACGTTGCTTGAAGTCCAGTGTAAAGTTTCCACAGTCAGTGATGGTTTGGGGTGCCATGTCATCTGCTGGTGTTGGTCCATTGTGTTTTCTGAGGTCCAGGGTCAACGCAGCCACATACCAGGAAGTTTTAGAGCACTTCATGCTTCCTGCAGCTGACCAACTTTTTGGAGATGCAGATTTCATTTTCCAACAGGACTTGGCACCTGCACACAGTGCCAAAGCTACCAGTACCTGGTTGAAGGACCATGGTATCCCTGTTCTTAATTGGCCAGCAAACTCTCCTGACCTTAACCCCATAGAAAATCTATGGGGTATTGTGAAGAAGAAGATGCAATACACCAGACCCAACAATTCAGAAGAGCTAAAAGCCACTATTAGAGCAACCTGGGCTATCATAACACCTGAGCAGTGCCACAGACTGATCGACTCCATGCCACGCCGCATTGCTGCAGTAATACAGGCCAAAGGAGGCCCAACTAAATACTGAGTGCTGTACATGCTCATACTTTTCATGTTCATACTTTTCAGTTGGCCAACATTTCTATAAATCCTTTGTTTTTATTGGTCTTCAGTAATATTCTAATTTTCTGATATGATGAATTTGAGATTTTCATTTGTTGTCATTTGTAATCATCAAAATTAAACAAAATAAACATCTGAAATATATGAGTTTGTATGTAATGTATGAATATAATATACAAGTTTCACTTTTTAAATGGAATTACTGAAATCAATCTACTTTTTCATGATATTCTAATTTTATGACCAGCACCTGTAAATGATTATCTAAAAGCTATCAGGAGGGAGGCTGGGTGAAAATAACTTTATTTTTAATCAGGATGAGCTAAAGTTTGGTCTTCTATTCATTTTTTACAGATATATATAACATGACTATGCACCTTTAATGTGTCAATAATGAGACAATATTAAGTGTAATTATGTAATTGTTAATTGTTTAGCCTTCATTTTCTACTCACCCCCATGCTGAACAACAGTGTAATTGTTTCGGTCAGTCTGACAGATCTTCCCTCTAATTCTAAAAAACTAAGACACATTTAAACTTTTTGGAATATTAGCAATGATAACCAACCTCTCTTATGTGACACTTAACACTTCCTTAAAGCCACCATCTACCACTCTAACTCACTCACCTCACTCTGGCCCATAAACAACCACAACGTTTCAACATTCATTCCTTAAGACTATACAGCATATTATCCCCTGTGGGTCATCACCTTAAACTGTTAGGGGAGCTGATTCAGTGTTTACTAAGATAACAAGCTCACCAACCTTTTAAAAGATTCCCATTGTCAGTAAAGTTTGTAAAGACTTTTTCATTTTGTCTGACAGCTCTTCGTTCAGTTACAAAGTTCTGGAAAAAAAGGCCAACTACATTTTAAGGAACGGAGTGAAAATCTGCTCTAAAAGCAGTAAAGGACTCAAGACACAGATGGTACAGAGTTGAGCAGGGAAGGGAAGTGTCAGAAACATAAGGGTTTAAAGAGCTGGTGGGAGTGGAAGAGATGTGAGTCAGCACAGGTCTGAAACTGAATCTGTTATGATCCCAGCCGGTGGAAGGTGTGGGAGGAGACGCTCTGATCTGTTTGGCTCTCATTAGAGATCCAGCTACTGTGAAACGCTTAGCAACAGGGAGCCAACCCGGACTAACTCGGCAGAGACAGACATGGAATATTGGCTTATTTTTTCCACCCAGACTTGTTCTAATGAATGTTGTACCCCCCCCCCGGCCATAAAAAACAACAAAAAAAAACAACAACATATTCCTTCATATGGAATCTATTTGGGAGTTCGAAAAAAGCCCAATAAGGACCACTTGCATAGGTAGGGTAGAACTGGGATATTTTCTTCATTTTATAATAAAGATTTGTGGAAAAAACTGACGCTACCGTACATCAATGAAATTCAAAGAAAGCTGGATCCAAGTCAGCTTACTTTCAAGTGTCTCATCTGGACTCTTTACTAACAGTGTTCTTAAGGGGGATACACCGGTGGCGTTATGATGCGCAGTGCAGCAGAGCAATAAACGCGCAAACGGTTACACGTGTAGATATGCGACGCTGTTCCTAATTTACGATGAGTTTCTAATTTCAGAGATGTATACGCTCCAGTTTGGGCTAGGAAGAAATAGTAACAAAACATCCGGTTTGAAAGTTGACTTCAGGACAAGGTGTGTTTTCTACACGGCACTAGCGGCTCATTTTTCCTACAGTAGGTTGACAGGAAAAGGGGGTATAAGAGAGAGAGAGACATGCGGCGAAGGACCACAGGGTCAGCCACGTCGAGGACTAAGGCCTCCGTACATGGGTCGTGCGCGCTAACCACTGCGCCATCTGCACGCACTACATGGAGCTTTTTTTTTTTTTACAAGATAATAACCCAACGCCTACAGTTATTGACGCCCAACCAGCAGATGTTGGTAATTGTGACATGATAAAAAAATACATATTTGATAACTCGTCAGATTGGTCAGAAAACTGATTTGTAGGTGATTATACATTGAGCCACATTCAGCCAGGCATCGGTTATTGCAGTACAACAAAGGACCCAAACGACTCCCCATTCCTTAAGGGGCGGACCCGTTCGTCTGGTTCAATTTATGTTTTCTAAGCCAAAACGGGTCCACTTTATAAAGCCTTTGACTCAACGCTGTTTCTGACATTTTGAATTGAAAAAGATCCTGGATGGAAAGCGAAACGTCTTCAAACTTGGAAACAAAGTCCAGTGGATTGTTTTTTAACGTTTCTCAAGTGCTCACACATTATTTATAAGTTCATAACTTAAACACATAGTACTGTTTAATTTACTTCCCCATGTCATAAAAGCTCGTCTTTTCTAAGTGTCCCGTTGCTGTGGAGCGTTCTCTTCGGCATCAGGTGTAAATTTCAGTTTTCAAACATATGTACGTATGCTGCTTTGCTGCGCTGTTACAAATCCAATGTGTTTACCGTTTTAGTAGAGATCACATCTAAATAGCGCCTCAATCTGTCCTCTAATGTAACTGAAGCTAAACAAAGGTTAGCATAATTTTTTGGTTTCTAAATTAGATCCCTTCATAAACATCCATCAATTATCAAACCCGATTAAATCAGGTGAAACTAGTCTATATATTTCCTTGTAAATTCACCACATTTGAATCTATATTTTTGTTTTTTTTAATGCTACATGCAATTTCTAGTGTCCTTCAATGTTAAAATTACTTTCCCCCCCCTTTTTTTTTAACTAAAATTGAAATGCAGCTAGCCAATAAGCTCAAAACTTAGGAATACAATAGCCTAAAATGTTAGCTAGCTCCAAAAGCTAGCATCTACCATTTTGTTGTAGTTAGCTTAAGTTAGCGAACTCATGAAAGTGCTGAGTTTATTATGTGTAATTTGATTTTAGCTGTAATAAGCCAAATGTTCTAAGTTTGTTAGAAAGGAATGTCATTTTTTTCCTGCTAAAACAAACATAAAACATTGGATAAGAAGTTAGCAATAAAACGTTTAACACCCAGTAAGGTCAGTTTTTGTGTTGCTCACGATATCCTCACAGAACCAGCTGCAGTTTCAAGTTAAAACTACCAACTAAAAAAAACGAAAAGTATTAAAAACATTTGGCAATATTTCAGGTAAAAACCTGCAGGTCATCATACAAAGCAAGCTAGCTAAACATCATGCTGGAATGCTAACATAATGACAATAAAAATCATTTCCAAATACAAAATAAACATATTTTTGGTGAAGTTTTCTTCACATAATGGTCTTTGGACAATTAATGTGCAGCTTGATCATTTGGTTGGAATATTCTGTAGAGTATTATAATCATATATGAGTAGTATATACATCTCAGCAAATTAACCATTTTTTATTGGACAATTATTGATGTTAAACTAAATGTTTTGCTGTTTTTCTTTCATTTCACTGAAATCCAAACATGAAACATTTTCACAATTTAACTCTTTGCATGAATTAAGCTCCAAGGCTCAAAAGCAGCCAAAGCAAAAAAATAAAAGATATATATATAAAATCCTATCAGACTGTAGAGTAACAAATACTGATTTAAAGCAGACAAAAAACAGGAACTTTGTTGATTTTATATGTCTGACTTAAAAAGATGACTTCATTTCATAGCAGGAAACATAAAAAACATCATTATGGTGGTTATTGTGCAAAACACCTGATTTTTTTTTTTTACACACCAGGGAAAAGGTCAAGCCAAAAAAAGACAAACAAACAAAGATAATTAATTTAATGAAACCCCGAAAAGAGCTTTATGGTCAGTGGCTCCTATTCAACACTAGGAAAAACATTTAAAAATCACTGAAGTAACACAGTCTGTTCTGAGTTTTTCACATTTATGAGCCTGTTTATTTACCCTCTGTACAGGGAAATACAGATGGCTTTTTGATTTGTAAAACATTTAGAAAACAGTGCATTTTAGATAAATCTTAAGCTGTACAGAAAATAGTAACAGTGGACTGTTACTAATCACCATATTTCAAAGCAGTTACATTTTTGGTCCTTCTTATGTAAAAATAATTTTAACTGATAGTGAACTGTTAGAGGAGGAAGACTATTCAGCATACACTAATAAAAAGTTTAATTTATTGATAAACTCCAGTTAATTATCAGATTTCTGTCTGTTTTAAAGGCTGCTGATGTATCTAAATGATGGTGTCACATTATCCTAACATGAAGATAAACTTCCTATAGTTCACAGGCTCATGTTTACTAGAATAAATTAGGGTGGGATTATCTAAAAGTCGTTAATTTCAAACATCTTTGAGGTATGGCAGATGGGAAGTCTAAGCAAACGTCAAAAAACGGGCGTGCTCCCCATCAGCCGACTGGTGATCCATCGAACGGATACTGATGGTTCGATGTGGACGGATGTCCAGGAACTTGTTACACGATGAAGTCCGAATCTTCTTCAGCGGCTGTAGATCAACCTCTCATACGGATCTGAGGTCTACACATTAAGATTTGCTGCTATCTCATTAAGGCGCTGCTAGCTCTGCCTTCAAGCGACGCGGCAATCAGCTAAAGTTACCTTTCTGGGAATCTGAGGTCCCGACGGCTGCACTGGATGGATTCAAGCAGAAGAAGGCTAATCTGTAAATCCTGCCCTCTGATTGGTTCAGTACAAATCTAATCCTGAAGAAAGATCTAGAGCCCGAGAGACGGCTGCGACGGCTACCAGCTGAAAAGAGAGTTCTGTCCGAGCGTCATGAAGTAGATCTGGCTGCTGCCTCCGGACTGCACCGAAGCAAAGAACACCTGCGGCGTGAAAAAGCGTCTGAGTAAACTATTACAATCTGCTGATGCTTTACTTCAGTCTCCCACTTACCTTGTCGTTCCTCTCACACAGGAACTTCAGTTTCTGGGCCTTCTTGTGCATGAAGACTCCCTCCAGGTTCCCTGTGTTGGCAGACCTCAACTCTATGGCCTTTTCTCCCCAACCCATCACCTGGTTGGACTGAAGGTAAGCTGGACAAGGAGGGGAGAGTTAAAGCGGTCGGGGGAGGTTCATGGGTTTTCGGAGCAGTTTTTGGGGTCTAGTTACCGACGGATGTAGGCATCTCGCCCCACTGCAGAACCGTGTCCTTGGTGATGCGGCCGTAGGTGTCGATGTAGACGCCTTCATCTTCATAGCAAACCAGAACTTCTGTTCCGGCTTTGTTTGGCAAAATGATGATGGCATGAGGATGGACCGGACCCTGGATCTGTTACACAAAACCAGAAACATGATTGCAAATGTATTCCTCAAACAGGAATGTTTTAAAAGCAGGCATCCCCAGAGTTGGTCCTCAAGGCCCACTGTCCTGCAGGTCTTAGACGTTTCCCTGCTTTGGCACAGCTGATTATAATGATTGCAGTTGTGTAAAAGCCTGTTAATCAGCTTTCAATTAAAATCAGCTGTGCTGGAGCAAGGAAACCTGGAAAAACCTGCAGGATAGCGGGCCTCGAGGACCGACTTTGAGGATGTCTGTAATAAAGCGATGTCCAGAAAAACAGTTGGAAAGAATGAGTGACTTTATTTTGAGATCATATATAAAAAATAAAATTATAAAGACATGTAGTTGTCATGGTCTTGGTTCTGTTAAATTTTCTTTTGAGTTTTCAGTTTCACTTTGATCCATGTTTTTCCGTGTTTTCTTCCGTGTTTAATTCCTATTTTGTTGTGTTTTCTGGATATATTTGAGTTCTTAGGTTCTTTGTTGCCCTCTTGTGTTGGTCTCCTTTTCCCTAGATCCCGTCTAGACTCCTCTATTCACACCTGCTCCCAATCAGCTCATTAGTTCTGTCTTTTTTCAGTCTCCCATATATTCTCATCCTGTGCAGTTCCTCAGTGCTGGTTCCTCGTCTTTTCCTGGCTCCTCATGTTTGTTTTCCTTGATGTCTCCAAGGTTCTGTTTTTTCTGTATTTTGCTATGTTGGATTTTTAGATTCCTGCCTCAGTTGCCAGTGATTACTTAATTAAATCTTCAAGAACAAACCTCTGCCTCCTCACCTCTGCTTTTGGGTCCTCAAAACCGCAACCAAACCCTGACAGTAATAGAATAAAAGGGACTTCACTTCTAGAGATTGTGTTGGGGCTTTTATTGCACTAAAACCTCATTTGGACCAATTTGTGGTCAAAGGGACGTACATTCATCTGTTTTTTATTGCAAAGCTACAGCTAACGGAAACAGATTGCTGTGAACAATTAACATCCCATAATTTTCCACCAACACTATTGACGGATAATCAGACTTTTCCTCTTGAAGTGAAACATAAGCACCAGCTGAAACGTCTCGTTCAAATAGACTACATTTACACTGCAGGCCTTAATGCTCAATTTAGATTTTTCCAAATATATGCAGCTTCTATGTGATCTTCGGTTTGAACTACATTCATACAGCTAAAGTGTCCTGCATGCACATTAGAGGAAGCAATTACATCACAATAAAGCCTGCTCTGTGTCAACGGAAGTTAACATGGATAGTAGTACTGGAGCGCTTCTAGTGATCTTTCCCAACATTAAAAACTCAATCTTTTCAAGATGATAAAAAAAAAAAAAGATTGCTCTTTGCATTACCGTCCACCATGGTTGTTTTTCTTTTCTTGCTGCTTCTGCATGGCAAGATGCGGAATAGTAACCTTTGTTGAGTATTAATACAGGGTTTATACAGGAATAGGTAACTCTAATTTAATTCTTTTAATGCTCTTAGAAATAATTTTAATGCCATCAAAAAAATACCCATGACTCTCATATGTTTTGTGATCTTCACCGTCGACCGGCTGCAGCCATGTCCCGAATTACTTGTTTTCCAGTCACTGTTGTTAAAATGTGCATTTTCCCATTCCCTAGCTTTTTCTCTGCCTCTTCTGTTTTTTTTTTGTGATTACAAAGCTACTAATCTCAGAGTCGAAAAACCAAATGGTTTGAAAAGATCACAAAGTCCTTTCATTTGGAGCGCTTGACCTTTAAATTCCAAGTTTACCTGGCAGCACTGCACTGTAGCTAAATGAACCAGGCTCCCTGTGTGAAACAGCGCCTCAAAGTGTTCGGTTCTGGTATCAGACCCGTTTGGATCAGCAGATCAAGAGTCATGGAGTTCCTGGCAAATTCAAGATTATATTCAGCCTCTAGATTAAATTCTCCAATAGAGAACCAGAAATATTTCTCATCAGCTCAAGGTCAGAGTTAACAACAACTGTTAGCTTAGTTAGCTCTGGTGTTTAAGGGTGTCACGACCCGATCCGTCCGGGAAGCACGATCTGTCCTGCGCATGCCTGAACAGAATAACTTCCTGGTAGGCAATACTTTGTTTTTCTTACTTACTTTTTTATTCCTTTGTCTGTTCCTTTTGAATATGTTTTTTTTTTTGCATAACTATTGCATATTCTAAAAACAAAAAAAGCCATACAAAAAAAAAACTGTTAGATAGCTTTTCGAACATTACCGTGACTGCTCTAAGCATGTCCAATGATGACATCAGGCAATACAATTGAAAGAATGTAAAACATATCCATTTCTTCCATATATCCTATATAAGATGTAGTTTAGCATTCTTTCATGTTTCAAGTATATAAATAAGTATTTTTAATACATATTTTTCGGTCACCCAAATCGTATTATTCTGTTCGCGCATGTGAAGGATTGTGCTTCCGGGACGGATCGGGTGGCGACATTGCGGAGCTCAGGCTGCAGTAAAGCAGCGCTCTGGGTCACATGATGGATCCGACCCTCTTAAGTCAGGTAGAATAGTTTTTAGGAGGGCAGCCTGTAGTAAGCATCGATACGCACAAAGTGCAAAATATTGACCTGAAAAATCTTTTATGCTACTTTAACAAGCAACATTTGGGAATTAGTGCTTAATTATTTCCTTCAGTCGAAGTATTTTATGACGGAGTATTAGAGCCATACTAAGACATTAGTATTACAACAACAACACATGTCAGTTATGGTTAAATTACCAACAATTAAATGCAAATTTTAATTAGTAAGGATAATCCACTTAAGAGTATCAGTGCTGCCACCCACTGGTTAAGAGAGGAAATGTTAGCTCTAGATCGTAGGTCTTCAACAGGGGGCCCGCGACCCCTAGGGGGTCCACGGAGGTCCTGCATCGGGGTTGCAAAAGTTTTGGTTGATTAGACTTCTTTTTTTTTATATTCCCCCCTACAATTTTTTCCACTAATTAAAAATGTCTTTAAATAGACATTAACATGAATTCAACACACTTTAGTAAACAGATAAATGGAGGCAGAAGATGTCTTTCAGTCATCAATGCACATTCAGCGACACACAGGAGCTCTTTCAAGCTGGGCACCGCTTCATTCACAACACCTGTCCCATCAACCAGGAATCAGAATCAGAAATACTTTAATAATTCCAGGGAGTAATTACTTTCATTACATTACTCCATCTGTAGTAGAGTGACTATAGGACCAGTTTGATAGAACACTATTTCATACAATATGTATAATTAGTGGGACCCCCCTCCATCTCGCCATCTGTTTGGGGGTCCTGCTCTAGAGGTGCCCATGGCCCCCCATCTAGCTATGACCCTGTTGGACAATGTTTTTCTTTACCAAATTCAAGCATAAAGCCCCTCTTCCTCCTCAGAGGGTCAGTCAGTGTTCAGAGCTGCTTACAGGAAGCCAGTTTCATACGTTACCGGAGCGTGAGCCACCACAATCCGGAGCATTAGGACGGGCATCCACAGGCGCAACGCAATCTTAATCCTCTGCCTCGGAATCTGCATCGTCGCATAGTTTCTAACACACACAGACACCTGTGCGTCTGTTTGTGTGTGTGAGTGAATGAGTGAGTCACTGCTGTGCCAGAATGAGCAGTTGAATTTCTTCTAACAGGGCTGATGAAAGAGGAATGGAGCAGTGAGGTGTGTGTCTGTGAGAGAGAGAGAGCGCATGGCTGCAAAGCTTTAGTAAACCAGTTCAGATGGAGTGTTGAAAGCGTGATAGTGAGTGGATTCAAAAGCTGAAGTGGGAGTGAAGGTTTTCCAGAAAGGAAGGGAGTGGGGATGAAGTTTGAAGCAGCAGTGTAAGGCACGGGCGCAGAAGGCAGCTGTATGCAGACTGGTTTAATAAACCCAGAGAGGAGGGAGGAGAACAAAAAGTATCCAAAGGAGGCAGAGGAGGTCAGAACTGACAGAGAGTTAATGATCGCAGAAGGAGGACAGATGTATTTTTAGAGCTTCGTTCTCCCTCCCCAACCTTACCTCCGTAGCTTCCACCCCTACTTGGAAGGAAAAAGCAGCACAGGTGCACCAAAAGAAAAGGGCTGAATGTTGGAAACTGTAAATCATACACCACATTTATGTTAAGATTTTATCACTGCTGCAATTTGAAAATGGAAATGTCGGCGTGCAGGTTGTGCAGTGGTTAGTGTGCTCGACCCATGTACGGAGGCCTTAAGGCAAATTTATGCTTCTGACGCATAGCCTCTGCACCCGTCAAATCTGTCTCTGTGCACGACCGCGCCCCCCGCACAGAGGTTCTGCAACCATCGTTGCACCTGACTACGCGTTGGACGGTCGCAAACTCGTGCAGACCTCAAGCAGATTTGCGCAGATAAAAAGCAGCTGTGATTGGTCCTTGGTATGCCTTTCTGGCTGTCTGTGGTCGTCCTTCTCGATTCGGTGCCGGTGGGCGCCATTTTTAAAAACCGAGGAGCAATGGACAACTACAACAAGGTTAATCGGTCTTTTTGCCAACTCCATTAACAGAACCTGTTCCTCTTCGATGTCTAGCAACACTAGATCCATCTCCATGACCGTGATATGTTGCAGACGCGCCATTGTTGTTTTGGAGGAAAAACACTCCAACCGGTGCTGCTGAAGTTCTCGTGACCATCCGCCGAAGTTCTCGCGAGTTCTTGAATAGGCTCCACCTTTCGCTTTGGCGGGAAACTGCTTGCGTCCCAAGAAATTCCAGACCAGACCCCGACATTTGATGCGTGCGGTTGCAGAAGTCTAATCTGCCCTTTAGTTCTCGATGCGGCCGACCCATGATTGAATCCGGCCTGTGGTCCTTTCCCACATGTCTCTCCCTCTTTCTCATACCCCCTTTCCTGTCAGCCTTTTGTCAAAAAAACGAGCCACTAGTGCCGTAAAAAACTAAAAAAAAACAAAAAAAAATAGAAATGTCTTGAGAGCTGTACTGAATGAAATTTCTTTTTGTATACTCTCTGTGTACAAAATGACAAGAAAGTCTGTCTATGTCTAAGTGATGGTGTGCTGTGTGATTAACCACAAAACTTTCTGTCAGAGGAAAACTGTGATTTGTCTGCACCAAACTAAACGTGTTAGCTCTAAACTTCTTGACTAATGATGGAATCCTTTAGTCGAGACATGGGATTTATCTCAATTAGCGATGCAAAGAGGGGAGGCATGGTAACAGCGCTGAAAGAGATGAAGAGCAACTTTAAATCCATTATTCATGCAGGGGGGAGATTGTTTTACGCACCAGCCGCCCACTCAGTGGCACCGCATGTAGTGATAGGACATTTACAGAACCTTGAGAACGCCTGAAACCCAATCATGTATAAGACCCTGAGCTAAAGCCTTTATATCAGTGTCCTAAAAACCCGTTTAACAGGATGTGTCAGAATATAAATGCAACTATGAGTCACCATCGTCTAGAATCTGCTTCACATGCCCACATGCAGCAGAGGAACAGAACAAATAAAGAAGATTCTCCATCAGTGGGAGTTTGGTTCACATTCACACAGTTATCTGCAACCATGTGGGAATATTCTTAAAGTTTGAAACAGCTCTGGTGTTTCAGTCGTTGGCTTCTTTAACACTGCAAACCATTACTAACATCCCAAACACCAAATAATCCAGGGAAGCCGGTAGTAAGGGGCGAGCTACACCGTAGCCACAGCTAGCCTGGGGCACGCTAACAGAAGCAAGGGTGTAGACAGACAGAGGCTTGAACTGACAACCCAGTGATGAACGACCGTCGCCCGATATATTAATCCACATCTATTTAGTAATTAATGCACATAAACCTAAAAACATGGATCCACTCAATCGACTTTATTTTGAAAATCCCAAGGCATGAGGAGATTATCCGTTATTTTTCTTCTGTTTAATTAGAGGGATGCTAATAATCTCTGTGCTTCTCTGTAGCATGATGCTGCCCCCACCATGTATTACACTAACACATTTCATGGACATAAAAACCTGGGTGACTCTTAACTTTCTGCTCCTGAATGCAGACAAAATAGAAGTTATAGACTTTGGACCAGAGTCTATGAAAAAAGAAGCTGATTAGTCAGTCACTTCATTTGGATGGGATTAAACTGATTTTTTTATCAGGACCTGTCATTTAAATCCCATATCAACGAGGTTTCTAGAATTTCCTTCTTTCATCTGAGGAATACTGCAAATATTAGAAATCTCCTGTCCAGGGGCGATGCTGAGAAACTAGTCCATGCATTTGTTACTTCAAGGCTGGACTATTGTAATTCTTTACTATCAGGAAGTCCACAAACTGTAGTTAAAAGCCTTCAGCTGATCCAAAATGCTGCAGCCAGAGTTCTAATGAAAATGAAAAAGAGAGATCATATCTCTCCTCTCCTGGCTTCTCTTCATTGGCTTCCTGTTAAATCCAGAATAGAATTTAAAATCCTCCTTCTCACATATAAAGCCTTAAATGGCCAAGCTCCATCTGATATCAGAGATCTGAATGTTCCTTATGTTCCTAACAGAGCACTTCACTCTCAGTCTGCAGGTTTACTAGTGGTTCCTAGAATTTCTAAAAGTAGAATGGGAGGCAGATCTTTTAGTTATCAGGCTCCTCTCCTGTGGAACCAAATACCAGTTTTAGTCCGTGAGGCAGACACCCTGTCTACTTTTAAGGCTAGACTTAAAACTTTACTTTTTTATACAGGTTATAGTTAGAGTGGTTCAGGTTATCCTGAGCTATCTCTGTAGTTATGCTGCTATAGGCTTAGACTGCTTGAGGACATAGGGAGCCCTTTTTCATCATTCTGCTTCATTCTCTCTCTATTCTTCCACTCTGCAGATTTTGTTAGTTCAATCTCTAACGTTCTGCTCTCTCTGCTTTTTCTCATAGTAGCTTCATCTGATCTGTTCCTGTTTGGCTGTGACTCCATCCTGGAGAGAAACATCAGCTGTGCTGCTGCCATCAACACCTTTGTTTATAGATGTTGGAGATTGACCTGTTTTTCAGTGTAGTCCTGTTTCTCTGACTGTGACTGGCTGGATGTGCTCTCTTCGTCCTCTGGCATGGGAGCTGGCTCGGAGCTCGTCTGCCTGGCTGTGTGTTTCCTGGACAGGGCCGCCTTTTACAGCTGCTTTTTGTATCTCTGCTTCTGTCTCCTTGAACCCCAGTCAGCCTCAGCAGATGGCCGCTCACACTGAGCCTGGTTCTGCTGGAGGTTTCTTCCAGTTAAAAGGGAGTTTTTCCTCTCCACTGTCACTACAAGCATGCTTAGTGTGAGGGATTGCCTTAGAGTCAATGAGTCGATGCAATCAACTAGTTTTTCTTAGATAGAAAACTGAATCAATTTGACTGGATGATCTGTTGAACTGTAAAGTGCCTTGAGGTGACGTGTTGTGAATTGGCGCTATAGAAATAAACTGAATTTAATTGAATTATATAATATTACTAGCTGCCAACTTTACCACATTTTTTGTTATATTTTCTTAAAGGTCTCTGTGGGATATTCAGATAATCTCAGGTTGGCAGAACCAAACAAGGGGCTGATCATTGTACTTTGCTAATACTGGTGAACTTTCCCTTCTTTCTTTGACCCATTAGGAAAAAAAACGTAACTGCAAAGGAAACATCCATTTGTTTTCCAGGATAGATCTTTTATCAAATCACAATGCAATCTTAATTTATTTGATACAGAGGAAACATAAGGAACTAATGTGGAAGTACTAAGGGAGGTTCTAGGTTATGTGGCGCTATATCTGGGTGATCCTATGGAGGAAAACACACAGAGCAAGGATAGATACCTAATGGAGAGACATTTGGAAGCCAGTGAGAAAACTATAAGAAGGCAACAGGAGAGATGAGATCCTCCTACAGATGAACAATGGCTGAAAACAGTGGAAGGAATGTTTGACATGGAGAGATTCACATGTTTTATTGATGTCTTTCAATACTATTACTACCATATAACTGAGATTCTGTTAAAAACTTTTTTGTTCTCCCACAAAAATTGAAGTGTAAAAAAACGAATGGATGTACAGTATGTCGATTCTACTGGATTTGTGGATGAAAAGGCGGGATCATTTGCAAAAAACAGCCAATTAGAAGCAGAGTGACAGTTTCTTATGGTTTCAATGAAACAGGGTGAAAATCAAATGATGTATTTGATAAGAAAATCTTTACAAATATTTCATTTTAGACATGTCAGAAAAAGTTTTGGAAGCAAAAAAAAAACAAAAAATGAAAAAACAGGGAAACTACTTTTATATCTTTTCCAAATAGATCCTAATGCAAGACGTTTAGATCTTTATCAAAAACCTCTGTAGCTTTGATGTAGTTAATTTCAGCATAGTCAATATTTGCGCAGATGGAGTTATGGTTTCTATACGTGTGCAGCCTTATTTATTATATTTCCAAAAGTTTTATTTACTGTAAAATACAAAGAAAATAATCAGGCAAAGGAAAGAAATCCCCCTTTTCTTCTGTATTCAATCTTCCTTTCCTTTGAAACCAACTTCAGCAGAACCAATAAACATCCTGAAGTTTGTAATGAGCCGCTGTTGGACAAAAGGGGCGGCGGCGGCTTACGTGTGTTGGCAGGTAGAGGTCATACGGCGTTCCAGAGTCGACATCGATGGCGTGGAAACCAGACAAGGAGCCGTAGATGACTTTTAACCTTTGACCTTCCTCCACTGTCAGGTCGACTGACAGCGGTTTCTGAGGCAGGGACCTGAAGGACTGAGCAGAAACAATAAGACCATCAAAGACTGTTTCCATCTCAGATGGTTAATCTCTGCTCTGCCAGTTAAATCAATGACTGAGGGACATTTTGAAGAGAAGCTGCATCAAACTGCTGCGCTGAGGACAGTCATGCCATCTCTTACACAAAGTATATTTGGACGTTTCTGAGGAGAGAGGCTTAAACTCAAAACAGCGCAGGAGAAAAAGTAGCCCAGGCCTCAGAGGACAAAAATAAACGGGACACGGCTCCGCTGAGAACCTGTCCTCGTACCCTGGATGTCTCACAGCCGTGGAAGTGACCCTGTTAGATTTTCTATCAGGACCTTGTTCTGATAAGACCCAGAATACAAAGATGATGGTGATTAGGAAGGTTAACCAGTTTAACTGCTGAATCTCGTCCTTAAAGTTGTAGAGAAATCCTATTTAAATGTCAAATCATTCTGTGTTAAACATGTATATAATAATATACAAATATCAGATGATATTTACCCAAACTTTAGAAAATTTCTAAATAAAAAAAAATCCTGTCCTTAAAATCTGTGTTTTTTCCTTTTTTCTTTCGTTATCTTATTCAGGCCAGTTATACGTCAGCCTAAATTCAGCCAATCATATATCATTGGTCATCTGTCAATCACATTTTTTCAGTTGAATCAACAACGGTTGAAATAAGAAATAAGAATCATTTCCTTTCCCATTGAGTTCCGTCCCAGTGTTCACGGGGATGGACGTCTGTGTCTTCAGCAGGCGTAGAGCTAACAGAACTGGCAGCGTTGCGAGGCAAGGGCTCAAACATGTACGGCTGTAAGCCTTCTACACCAAACCAAGCTTCTGCCCCCCTGGCGTCCTCTTCCACAACATCTTCATCCCCGCTTTCCTCCTCTAAATAAAAAATGTATGACGGAGGAGACTCATCCACGACCTCCGACACTAAACTCTCCTCCTCTTTTATGTTTCCTCTGTCCATAGCGTTTCTTGACAGTGTCGTTTCTAAGTCACCAATTTAGTGCTACTTGGTCCCAATGGAATTTCCCATTGGGAACCTACTAGCACTAAGTTGCTAACTAGTTAGCAAGATGCTTTCAACAAACCGGCCACAACCAAACATGTTTGCGAACCTTCTGCCACAACAATCTTCACCCCTTGATAAACGACCAATCACATTCACTTTATTAATTCGTGTAAAGTCTGGCACCACTGGGAGAATTCGGAAATGCAACGGTTAGAACAGCCGCTTCCCTACGACTTTAAAGGGAGAAAACATCGAAAATAAACCAGACGATTTCCTTTAGTGACACAAACCTTGAAGGCCATGAACTTATGGTAGGGTTTGGGGGCCCAGGCGTACACCTCCACAGCATTCTTCAGGGCAATCACCAAAAATTTTATCTTCTCGTATCGCACTGCAACAAGGAAAAAAAAAAAACTGAAGAAATATGTTCACACCACCCTTTTAGACATGTGCTGGGATTTCCTGACAAGTCAACATAAGGCAGGACATACCGGGGAAGTTATAAGTCAGTAAAACATAAAACATGGTATGGGAAGAATGGTGCCATTTAAACTGGAAAAGGAGTGAATAAATATCAATATTTTACAACTGCATCCCATTTCTAATCTTTTTATCAAATTTTCTTCAAGTTTATTCAGATAGAACAGACTTCTACAAACATCTATTTTGTGTCTTGCACTGGGAAAATTATCTGGAAATTAGTAAAAACTGTGTATTTACCCTTGATTTGAGCAGATAAATGAGATAGTTTGCCAATGGAATGAGAATTTTTACTCTCAAAATAAGATAATTAGATAATATGCACGCAATATGCAAAGATGTGTTTATAAACCAGATCAAAACACTAAATCAGGTGGAAAGGAACTCAAACCAGGCTAAGTTATCCGTCTATGCAGCTGGATTCTTTTACTCAACTAGATTTCTTGAATTGAGATCACAGTGCAAAGTTGGCGCTGAAAGTTTAACTCCTCCTGGCCAGGAAGTGGCGCACTCGAGTTTGCCCGCTCTCATTCTGTATAGTTTGTAGATGGCTGTCAGGTTCGCTAATGCTAAGCTAAGTTTACACTCTTTTCCTTGTCTTAATTAGTCAGGTTGACATTTGCTTGATGGATTTTTTTTGGCTTAAATCAAAGAAACTGAGCAAAAGAATCAGTTTCTCAGCTCCACCATTGATCTGATGGGATCTGGAAACATCTTAGACTTAGACAACATTTATTGAAGATTTGTTTTCTGCAGCTCTCATGTCATTTCCACCATCTGGTAATTTCAACCTACTGGTGAAAATCATTTCATGTCCATGTTGACATTATGACTAGCAGTAAATATTTAGTTTTTTTTCCCCCCTACTATCAAAATGTATTACTTTCCAGTAAAATTAATAGTTTTATTCTGCCCTACATTAGATGTGTTTTTATCTAGAAATGGATGAAAAGGTTGTAGCTTTGACCTTTAAAATAACTTTTTGGTGACTAAGAAAGCTGTCAGTTGTTCTCAAACCTGTTCTGTATTGTTCTCTGATTAAGAAATATAACATGATCAAACTGTTTCTATCGTTCTGATCTCTGAAGTCATAAAAGTATCTTTAATTAATGCTGATATTGTATTTGGTCAATACTCAAAGCTGTGATATCTGCATCATATCGGAAATGAAAAAGTCTGTTTCCTCTTGGAAAGAACCGCATCATTTCCAGTGTGACCTGACTATAACTAGACTTCCACTGTTTCCTTCTCTCTCCTTTATTCATTTTTCTTCTTACCATCCATGTTGGCACTGATGTGTCTCTTTTGGAAGCTGACTCTGTTCAGTTTCCCACTTCATTTTTCCACAGTGTGGCAAAGTAAAACAAAATCAAAACAAGCTTTCACCACAGATTAACTTGTAACCTTCCATATATCACCTTTAACTTTTATTTTATACAATATTGGGAATTCAGTTTATATCAGATTAATTTTACTCTGGTGTAAAGCTTTAGTAAGGTCTGGTCATTCTAAAAGGATTTATTTTTTTATACTTTGAATACAAAATTTCCCTGGTTGCCTAGTTTCTGTATATTTCTGCACAGTGATAAATTATACCTTTTCAGGTTTACATTTAATTCAAATATCACGAATATCTGGGTTAAATTTGTTTCAATCTTTTTGTTAAAGTAATGCAGGACAGACAATGAAACCAGAAGACTAAAACTGGCCAAAGAATTGTTTTTAAACTAAGAATAAAATAGAGACCTTTTCAACATTTCTCCATCCCTTTCTTTTAGTCTTTCTTTCCTCTGGGACCTTTAACAGCAGCATGAACACCTCATGTAGAAGAGACCATTTCTCCACTCTTGTCTTAATAACTAAGCAGCCTCTAACAGCTAATTATTAGGCTCCATCCAGCTTGACAGCCTCTGCATCCCCCCAGCATGATGCTGCCACCACCCTGTTTCAGACTGGTTTTATTTTTTGAGGCAGAAAGAACTTTGTTCCACATGTTTCCACTGCGGCGTCCACTTACCCACTTTGTAGTGTACACAGCCCTCCAGGTCTCCCACTGAGGTCCAGCCCTGCCTCTTCTCCACTTCTGGGTCGTTATGGAGGATCTTGTTCCTTAACCAGGACAGGTAATACAGACGCAGCTTGTTCTTTTTGCCTGCAGGGTTTAAAAGATGGAAGAAGTCTGAGGGTCTCTCTAATACCATCAAACACTATCTCAACACATCATCCAGTTATGGATGTGTACAAAGCTGAGGAAGAGGAAGAGTGAGCCTTTATCTTTGGAGATCAAAACTGTGACAGCTCCTTGTGGATCACGTACCTGAAATTGTAATCAGGACATTGAGTCCCTCCAGTACTTCCATCTGCTGAAACCTTCGCCTGCTGATCAGAGAGTAGACCTTCCCTTGTCCGCTTCGATCCAGCAGCCAGAGGCCGTTTTCTGTTCCCACCAACAGATTCACGCCTGCAGAACCAAAAACACACATTCCTCACCACGGATACCGACACGGGCCGGAACACAACGGTTGCGCATTACTTTTTAATCTCCATCTCACACTGACTGTGTATAGAGAGGCTCCGACTAGGCAGGGTGAGCAGATCTGCACTGTTTTTCACTTCTGTCTCTGTGCTATAGACAAATAAAAACAATTTACCACATTTGACTTAAACAAATTATGAAAAATAATAATTTGTTTAAGTAAAAAATTAAAGGTCAATTAAAGACAGAGGTCATGGATTAGTGGACCTGGGTCCAGATCCAGACCCACCTGCTGGCTAATCTGGACCCAACCTGATTTAAAATATTTATAAACTAGAAAAAGCTGTTTCGGAGAAACAGCAAGTGGGAATGCTTTTGCTGAATGAATAAAGCTGAAATTAACTGCAGAACATATGAAAATGTGATAGGAAGTCATCAGAAACTTCAAACTGCAGAAAACAATTGAATCATCTGAAGATTTTTGTAGGGTAGAATTATTTGGCACTAAAATGGCAGAAAGAAACTCATCTTAAAAGCTGCACAGCCAAACCATACATAATATCAAGAATGTCATTAATATGTGCACTAGAAGGGTCTTAATATAATGTCTATCAAGTTTCTAGAAAAATTTCTAAAGAAATTTTGAAGTGGGGCCACCTACTGCCCAGAAACATGTCAGGCATGTTATGAATTAGCAGCAAACAGAAAAGCTTAATTCCTGTCCAGAAAAAGAGCAAAATTAAGCCAAGGTTCACAGCATAGGCTGAACAATATAAAATTAGCAGAATCAGAAAAGAAATTACAAAGAAAAAATTGAATCTTATCTGGTTGAAGAAAATATGAGTAGCTCAAGGATGGGAAGTAAAATGTTGAGGAAGATGGTATTGAATAAGTATCAAAATTTTGAAATTGTGCAAATGTCAAGACTTGGCACAACAATTTGAAATGATTTAAAATGTGTTGGTTGATCAGCATAAAGAAAACAGTGTCATCCTTAGAGGATTGAAAATATACAAACCTATGTGCAAGACTGACCATGAGAAGCAGAGGAAGGACAGAGAGAGAAGCTTATAGAAAGAGAGTTAATACCACTTAAGGAGCTGAATTTATAAAAAAAAAACTAACCTGCATGTTACGAGCCGCTGCAGTGATGAAAGCACCGTTGGCAGGCTTAGGCTGCATGTTATGAGGTTAGCAGATGCTGTATCTCAGTGTAAATCTTAGAACCTGGTTAAGAAATATGCTCTGAGGTCTGTGGACAACAGGCCTTGGTAGTGTAATTTGAAGAAATTGGTTGAATTTGGGTCATAGCTACAAGCCACACGGCACAATGAATGAGTGTGTGTAATGAAGAGGCTTTTATTTTGTAGAGTCCCTTTAGTCTTATTTTGAAAGTCTATCATGGATGTGTGTCAAGGGAAGGGTCATGCCCAGCAGTTATATAGAATCCATTTCTAAATATGAAATCACTGGTTTTCCATGTCATTGGGTGAATAGATGCTGTATTAGAGCGTAAATGGGAGACTTTTATTGTGAAATTCACTCCGGGGTATGTTTTGAAAAGGTCCCTAGAGTCTAATAGAAACAAACTGGTAGAGTTTGGGTCATAATGCTGATCCATTTGCATCAATTAATACGCGTGTATAATATAGAGGCTTTTATTTTGTAGGGTCACTGGAGTCTTATTTTGAAAGTCTAGCAGTAGTGTGTTGAGAAAAGGGTCAGACCCAGCAGTGATACTTGATGACTTTCCAATCATTAAATCATTCTTTCCCCTGTTATTAGGGCAGTAGATGAAGTGGCAATGGGAGGCTTTTATTTTGAAATTTGCTGTGGGGTGTGTTTTGAAAAACCCCTAGAGTCTCATTTTTAAAAAAAGTGGTTGAGTTTGGGTCATAATGTTGAGCCATATGCTGGGAAAAAAATATGAGTTTAATGTAGGGGCTTTTATTTTGAAGGGTCCCCGGAGTCTTATTTTGAAAGTCTATCAGGGTTGCGTGTGAAGGGAAGGGTCATGGCCAATAGTCATATTGTATCCACTTCCTAATGTTAAATCAGTGTTGTCTCCCTCCATTAGATTAAAATGTGCTGTTTAAAGTGGTGGAGGTAAAATCTCTTTGAAGCACGGTTACCTTGACGACGTTAACGAGCCTGTCAGTGACAGAGAGACATGCGCATCACTTTCGTTCCTTAGTTCTCAGGCTTTTTTGAATGGGATTATCAGCTCCGAACAAACGAGTGCTGAAGACAAACCGTAAATGGTATCTAAAAAATTCTTTCAGTCTAAGCGACAGCTAACGGTTCCCGAATGGGAGCGATACGAAAAAGTCTGTTTTTTTTTATTTTCAGTTCGGATTTTCAGAGAGCTCTCATTGGCTTTCTATTGGGGAAGTGTGGACTTCTTCGTGGTCTGGGCCAAACTGTCGGAAAACCGTAAATGCCACACAAATGAGGGTTACATTTCCTGAATCCTGACAAAAATCCCTACGTTTTGATGTAAAATTTATCTAGATAGAGTAAAAAATGAGCGAGTGAGTTGAAGCTGTTCGGCATGAGTGAAATGTTTGAAAACGCTAGAGTGGCACACTCTAGCAGCTGAACATTCCGTCCATAGACTTCCATTATAAATTTGAAAATCTGTAAAAATTGTTTAAAAGTTTGAAGCTTCACTGAAGCAAAACTGTAAAAGTTAGCTGAAAGCCGAGTTAAACAGTAATAGCAGAAAGATACGGAAACATTTTAAAAGTTGAATGGTGTTCTTAGCTGAAAGTATGCTGAAGTAGTTAAAGGGCAAAGTAGCTGAAGATTTAGTGGAATTTTTGAAGTTTTACATGCATTTCAATGGGACAAAAAAAGTCATAAAAAGCTAAATATTTAAAAAAGTATAATAGCTGAAGTTACCAAAAGTCATAGCAAGATAGCCCAGAAGAAGCTGAACGTTTTGATACCAAATTTGTTGAAATCGGATGAAGTATGAAGGAGTTGAAAGAGACGGAAAAACGTACGGAAAGTATAATAATAACTAGAAAAAGCTGTTTCGCAGAAACAGCAAAGTGGGAATGCTTTTGCTGAATGAATAAAGCTGAAATTAACTGCAGAACATATGAAAATGTGATAGGAAGTCATCAGAAACTTCAAACTGCAGAAAACAATTGAATCATCTGAAGATTTTTGTAGGGTAGAATTATTTGGCACTAAAATGGCAGAAAGAAACTCATCTTAAAAGCTGCACAGCCAAACCATACATAATATCAAAAATGTCATTAATATGTGCACTAGAAGGGTCTTAATATAATGTCTATCAAGTTTCTAGAAAAATTTCTAAAGAAATTTTGAAGTGGGGCCACCTACTGCCCAGAAACATGTCAGGCATGTTATGAATTAGCAGCAAACAGAAAAGCTTAATTCCTGTCCAGAAAAAGAGCAAAATTAAGCCAAGGTTCACAGCATAGGCTGAACAATATAAAATTAGCAGAATCAGAAAAGAAATTACAAAGAAAAAATTGAATCTTATCTGGTTGAAGAAAATATGAGTAGCTCAAGGATGGGAAGTAAAATGTTGAGGAAGATGGTATTGAATAAGTATCAAAATTTTGAAATTGTGCAAATGTCAAGACTTGGCACAACAATTTGAAATGATTTAAAATGTGTTGGTTGATCAGCATAAAGAAAACAGTGTCATCCTTAGAGGATTGAAAATATACAAACCTATGTGCAAGACTGACCATGAGAAGCAGAGGAAGGACAGAGAGAGAAGCTTATAGAAAGAGAGTTAATACCACTTAAGGAGCTGAATTTATAAAAAAAAACTAACCTGCATGTTACGAGCCGCTGCAGTGATGAAAGCACCGTTGGCAGGCTTAGGCTGCATGTTATGAGGTTAGCAGATGCTGTATCTCAGTGTAAATCTTAGAACCTGGTTAAGAAATATGCTCTGAGGTCTGTGGTCAACAGGCCTTGGTAGTGTAATTTGAAGAAATTGGTTGAATTTGGGTCATAGCTACAAGCCACACGGCACAATGAATGAGTGTGTGTAATGAAGAGGCTTTTATTTTGTAGAGTCCCTTTAGTCTTATTTTGAAAGTCTATCATGGATGTGTGTCAAGGGAAGGGTCATGCCCAGCAGTTATATAGAATCCATTTCTAAATATGAAATCACTGGTTTTCCATGTCATTGGGTGAATAGATGCTGTATTAGAGCGTAAATGGGAGACTTTTATTGTGAAATTCACTCCGGGGTATGTTTTGAAAAGGTCCCTAGAGTCTAATAGAAACAAACTGGTAGAGTTTGGGTCATAATGCTGATCCATTTGCATCAATTAATACGCGTGTATAATATAGAGGCTTTTATTTTGTAGGGTCACTGGAGTCTTATTTTGAAAGTCTAGCAGTAGTGTGTTGAGAAAAGGGTCAGACCCAGCAGTGATACTTGATGACTTTCCAATCATTAAATCATTCTTTCCCCTGTTATTAGGGCAGTAGATGAAGTGGCAATGGGAGGCTTTTATTTTGAAATTTGCTGTGGGGTGTGTTTTGAAAAACCCCTAGAGTCTCATTTTTAAAAAAGTGGTTGAGTTTGGGTCATAATGTTGAGCCATATTCTGGGAAAAAAATATGAGTTTAATGTAGGAGCTTTTATTTTGAAGGGTCCCCGGAGTCTTATTTTGAAAGTCTATCAGGGTTGCGTGTGAAGGGAAGGGTCATGGCCAGTAGTCATATCGGTCTGCGCCAGGTGACGTCAATGTTTACCTCGGGCGTGGTGCATCGTGGGAAAACCACCATAATAGGTGGAAAGTCGAGATAACCCACACGCGGCTGTTATTTCGGCACAATTGTTTACCAGAAATGACACGATCGTGTTGTGTGAGAGGCTGCCAGTCCCGGTGTCGTGCCAAGGTAGTTATCCCTGCGAAAATTTGTATCCCCTCGTCGGGAGCGCGCACGGAGTAGGAAGAACAACCCGAGTTAACTCCGCTTCAATTCCA